GAACCTTTATCAAAACCCTATTCATTTGAATTAGTACTCGTTGAAGAGGACGTTATATGTATCAGTTCAGATTCCGATAGCGGCGAAAATTGTGTCGCAAATGATAAGGCAGTCAACCTTAAAGTTACACAAAAAAAAATTGTTGATAAAGGCAATACAATAAACAATGACGCTGATGTCATAGTTGCAGGAAAACAAGCTCATTGCACTGATATTGATAATCTAAAAACAACTGAATCTTTCAAAACAGATACGATCAATGAAACTCAAGTATCTGATACAGAGAATAATTCATTCAAATCTACCGATGTTAATGATAATGCATCTAAAAATTTAAACCAAACTAAGATTAACGATATAAAAACGGATGATGGAAAAGATGGCAATGCATCTCAATTATTATTAGTCAATAAAGATTTGGCTAATGCTTCTGAAATCACAACTAATATGATAGACGAAAATTCTTGCAGCAGCTACCATTCCTCAGATTTCGAATTCATAACCGAAGAAGAAGCTAATAGAAACATTTTTATCAACAATAATACCGTTCCAATAGACGTCAACTCAATACGAAGACTTAAAACTATTGAAATTAGCCGAGATTCTGGTTTTAACGACTCAAATTGTTCCCAGAATTCGCCTGGACCTAGTTGGAGAAATTTCAATGTTTCAGATTATAGAAGTGCTTATGAACGTTACGAAGCTGCAAATTTTGACATAAATGCTTATACAGATAGGCAATATAGGCGAAACCATATTGTACCAGATGCTGATGGTTATTTAGATCTGTTTCAAGGTGTATTTTCGCCTGTTACACCTTTTATGTTGGAAAATAAAAGTACTATGCCTTTGAGGTACGTTCAATATGAAGGCGTTGGGTTTGATTTCAGGGCGGTTAATGGAGGGCCAGATGAATCTGATAATGAATGTAAGTATAAGAAATAAAATAATAAATATTTCCTACATTTACACCAATTAGCCTAGCCCTAAAGTAAGCACTATAAGGCTTGTGTTATGAGATACTAGGGTAACGGATAGAATACATATGTATAGGTATATTTATATAGAAATACATATTAAACATCCATGACTGGAGTACAAATGCTCGTATCATCACACAAACATCTGCCCCCACCGGGATGTGAACCCGGGACCTCTCGAGTCGGCGACACCATGAAACCCGGCGTACAAACCACTCGGCCACGGGGGACGTATTTTTAACCGACCTCTAAAAAGCTGCTCATTTAGTAGTTTTTTTTTAACATCTATGATTTTTTATTTCGTCATTATTATTATTTTTTCAATTAGAACATTGTCAATTTTGTCTGATTCTTTAGTAGGCGTAGGACTGTAACATCAGACACGTCAAATTAATTTGTTTCCAAGGTAATTATATATTAAAATTTCCATTTTTGTTTTATTATATGTATTTCTAGATAAATATACTTATATAAATGTATGATTATATCTACCTACTTTGAGAAGCTCGATGGCCTAGGTGGCTAGTGCGCGATCGTTGAAGTTAAGCAATTTTCGCAGTGGTCGGTCATTGGATGGGTGACCAGAAATCTTCTATCTCGAGTACCTCCGTGCTTCGGAAGGCACGTTAAGCCGTTGGTCCCGGCTCCATCTGCAGTCGTCAGCACCCGCCAATCCGCACTGGGCCCGCGTGGTGGGTCATGGCCCAATCTCCCTATTCCATCCATAGGTAAAGCCTGTGCCCCAGCAGTGGGGACATTAATAGTCTGATGATGATGATATACCTATTCTATCCATTTACCCAGTATCGCATAACACAAGCCTCATTGCTTACTTTTGGCTTAGATTTATTAAGTGCTTACTTTTGGCCCAGACTAGAAATATTTATTTATTTATTAAGTCACGTGTTATAGGATTCTATTGACATGCAGAAAGTGCAACTTAAATGTTAATTAACTTCTCTGAATGCAATCTGAAATCTGAATGACATCTTATTATAAAAACGTATTTTATTATAAAAGTTTTTTTAACCCATTTTGATTGGACCCCAACATACATACACTGCTAGTTAAATAAAAGCTTTTAATTAAAAAATAACATTATTTTGCAGACGAAGAAGAAGCAGAAGAAACCGCAAGGAAAATATTGAATATGTATCCAGAAGAGAACAGAAGAAAAAGAAGAAGACAATGACATCACAGCCACAATGCAAATGAAACACAAAAACTATTTTTATAATAATTTTTTATTGTAAATATTTACAATGCGCACTTTAAAAACTAAATTATATCTAATTTGATATAAATTTTGAACTTAATATACTTATGTATACCAAACATTTTTTAACATGTACTTCTTCCACTTAACTTACGGTTTTAATTATCCATTCACAAAATTTATGTACGAGTGTCTATCTGTTACAATAGGGTATTTGACAGTGTTAAAAATAAACTGCCAATTGTTAGCATCTGTGTTTAGAATGAATATTGGCAGGAGTTTTTACTATTTTTACAAAAAAAATCATAATTTTACTAAAAACTAATGAAAAAGATAACAGTTTTCTTACCTATTGTCACGTGACCTGAAACGCTTGGCATTGGCGGAGCCTAAAATGACGTCACACGCCAGTAAACTTCCGGCTAAAGTGACATTACATTGTATCGTTTGACGTTTTAATAACAGCCGTGTGACGTCACACACTAGTGAGACGCCATATTGTCCAGAGAGAAAAGTTTTCGCGGCAACTTGAAACAGAATGATGAATATTCACTTTTTACGGACTCCATAAACATTAGTCAATAACGTGAGATCGTTTTCTAAAACTTGGTAAAATACCCTATCTTTATATATATAATTCTTCTGTGAGTGTGTATGTCACTGAACTTCTCTTAAACGACTGGATCGGTCCAGGTTTAATGAAATTTTTTGTGTGTGTTCAAGGGGATCTGAGAATGGTTTAGATTCACAATTTTGTCCGCTGGACAACCCCTATTTTTTTAGGGCGGTACGAAGTTCGCTGGGTCAGCTAGTTACAATATATTATTCAATGTTATATTGTTCAAAGATGAAGATTTTTCAATAGTAAAGTCCTGGCGCCATATTGGAAATACAGTAATTTCTTATAAATTTATAAACATGCAAACTTATTTAAAGCAAAAAATTAATATAATATGTATGTCATTATGAGCAACTTTATTACAGAACAATTAAAGTGTATTTTTCCAAGTCACGTTTGTAGCGTCATGCTGCACTGAGTGCAACGGAAAAACATAGAATATGCCACCTGCTTACTTTTCATTGCAGTAAAAGGCTTACAATCAACCCGTTGAATGACCATTTTCATGTATTTATTTAATTTGAATAAAAAAGGGACATGGATTTGTAATACAAAAGTAACTTTTAAGCATGCCATTTTTTTTAAACGAAATACGTTACACAGTATTAATTATTCTCAGAAATTCCTTTAAAATGTCTAAGTATAAAAAACATACTTGAACAAGAATAATCAAAACAGAGTCATATAAAAAATTTATATATTTATAGGGAACTTGCAGCAAATAATTTTACATCCGTCATGGTTTGATAGAAATATACGAAAACAAACTATTCTATTTATTTTAAAAAATCAAGAACATTGTCAAGTCTCACAAAACAAAACATTGATTTTGGTATTGCCATATTGATGTAAGAATTTATTTCTAAAGAAAATATAACTAGAAAAAATTCCACGCGGACCAGGCAGCAGACGGGACTCGAACCCGCACCCTTCGCAATCCGGGCGAATGCACTGACCAATTATGCTACCGCGGCCCTCACGGACCGCGTCGAAATTCTTTCTAGCTATTCTTAAGCTGCAAGGCAGCGCCATCTCTTCGCATTATAGGTAAACCCACAATGTCAAATGAATACTTTTACAAGTATTAAACATTTGAAAGAAGAAATAGCAATTATAGTTATAATTTTTATTATTTTTAAAGCATGTAAGAATTTATTTCCGAAATCTGCAATTTGGTGGCCAAAAATGTGGATCAATAATATAATCAATACATAACAGATTTAATAAGGAAGACTATAAGCTTAAAACAAATTGTTCCTAAGGGATATGAAAAACTATGACTGTCTTTCTGTCTGTCGGTTTTGACAGGATTAACAGCGGATGCGAGCTGAGAGACATTTAAGAATGTAAATACCGATAGGGTCAACAGTATAGCTAAAAATTGCGAAATTCGAGGTTTGGCTCCCGACGATGTCCTCCTCGAAAATTAGATATATGTAAAAGAAATTTTACACAAAGAATAATAAGTAGTTATACTATGCCTCTATGTTTTGTAAATGCTCATTAAAATCTCTACACTAGAAATCTTTTTTTTTTTGCTTTTTTCGAGGGGTTTTTGTTTTTTTTTAAGCACAAGTTATCGAGAAAACAAAGGAGCATGGAATGAGTAAAATTATATTTTTTGTATAAAAAATCAATTCTTTAGTGAAACTAGTTTTAACGGGTTAATGCACGAAACTTTATTTATTTATTGACGTTTTGCAGCCTTTTCAGGTCTGCATCGTCACAATACTAGCTTTATTTAATGAGTGATGTGCGTGAAAACCTAAGAAACAAATTATTTAGTGATAAAAATCAAGGGGGAATCACTCAAGAACGTTTGTATGGAAAAACCACTGAGCGCTTCATTAAATAATATTTAATAAACTCTTCGTATGTCAAAACAAAAAGTGCCTTCTACTTTTTGAAACGTCGGTGAAGAACTTTAACTACCTACTAAAATTGTTCAATATTTATACATATATAGGGGAAAAATAACAGTTTATATTTATAATAACGTAAAAACTGATTGAGAACAGCAAGTTATTCATAAAATAAGTATTACCTAATAATATTCTTTTAATCTCCTACTGAAACTTACAATTTAAGTGTTTTTCGTAAAAAAAAATATCTATAAAAGCTGAGAGATTACAATTTGCGAAATTAACAATTTTCTTTTGCACCAAATAATGTTTCTTAAAGGGTTTTTGTTTCAAAAAATCAAGCAATTATGAATTTTTTCTCGCGAAAGACTTACTTATTTCTATAACTTACGTTGAGCTTTGAAAATTCATTTTACCGTAACTTTTTGTTTCCAAGTTATTTTTGTTTTTGCTAACCGTAAATAACATAGTTAACTCTAGACTTATGAAACAATTTTTACATTAACAATTAGGATTTTAGAACTGTTGCCGTTTCGTTTGAAAATCAGCAATGCTCGTGTAAAAAAATAAAATCCAATTTTAGACGTACACATTATTTTGCGCTGCATGGCAACACTTTTTTAGACTTTAGATTTTCTTTTGGCCGGCGATCTTGGAGGGGGTGGTTCAGTCTTCTTGCTCTGAAATAAATAAATACAATATCAAGTAATCAGATACACAATATGACTATTGTGTACTGAAAAACGATTCCAGAACTTTTTGGAGCGTATACAGAGGAGATAGATAAATAAATATTTCCAACACTCACACCAATTAGCCTAGCCCCAAAGTAAGCACTGTAAGGCTTGTGTTATGGGATGCTAGGGTAACGGATAGAATACATAAACTGTACATATATAAGTATATTTTTATAGAGATACATATTAAACATCCATGACTGGAGTACAAATGCTCGTATTCATCACACAAACATCTGCCCCCACCGGGATTCGAAACCGGGACCTGTCAAGGCGGCGACACCATGAAACCCGGCGTACAAACCACTCGGCCACGGAGGTCGTCTAATACATTGATCCCTTATTTTTCACCCTCCGAGAATAATTTTTAGCTCATGTCCTTTTCCGCGATTTCCTCTATCTCCATAGCAAAATTCTTCAAAATCGGTTCAGCGGGTAGAGTGTGAAAGTGTAACAGAATTACTTTCTATTTTAGCCTTTGGAACTGAAATATTGATGGCAGCCAAGGGAACTGAGGAGCTCGACGGCGCAAGTGGTTAGCGCGCTCGGCTGCGATCGTTGATATTAAGCAACTTTCTCAGTGGTCGGTCATTGGATGGGTGACTGAAAATTTACTATCTCTCACTGCTTCGTGCTTCGCAATGCACTTTAAGCCGTTGGTCCCGGCTGCGTCTGCAGTCGTTAGCACCCACCAATCCGCACTGGGCCCGCGTGGTGGGTCATGGCCCAATCTCCTTTTTCCATCCATAGGGAAGGCCTGTGCCCCAGCAGTGGGGACATTAATAGGCTGACGATGATAATAAAGGGAAGTCGCATAATACATCTGTGAGACGCAATATTGCCAAGAGAGAAAGAAACTTTTCCGCCGTCAACAAATAAGTTGAATTCGATTTCAATACGCGAAAATAGTCGAGAAGATTTGTATGGAAATATAATTAACGCCAAAACGGACGTAACGAAAATTAAAAATCTTCCATACAACATTTCTTGACTTTCGAAACTCGTATCGCGATAGAATTCAACTTTTCGAATTCGATATTGGTTCGTGCTAAGACTACAGTTCGATAAATTAATTATAGTTATGATTTTATTTATTTTTTAAGCATTTAACTGCTAGATGTTTAAATCGAAAGAAAAGTTTACTAGAAAAAAATCCACGCGGACCAGGCAGCGGACGGGACTCGAACCCGCATCCTTCGCTATCCGGGCGAATGCACTGACCATTATGCTACCACGGCCCTATTAGCCCTATTAATACTTGAAAAAGTATTCATTTCACATTGTGGGTTACCTTCAATGCGAAGAGATGGCGCTGCCTTGCAGCTTTAGGCTAGGAAAATTTCGACGCGGCTAATAGGGCCGTGGTAGCATAATGGTCAGTGCATTCGCCCGGATAGCGAAGGATGCGGGTTCGAGTCCCGTCCGCTGCCTGGTCCGCGTGGATTTTTTTCTAGTAAACTTTTCTTTAAATTAATTATACTTTTAATTTTATGCAAAGCTTTTATGGATTCCATTAACAAATAGCATAAAATAAATTTATTAGTTTTGTTAAAGCATTTTACTGCTAAATTATTATACCTAGGACGTCGGGCGTCCCGTCTGCTGCCTGGTCCGCGTGGAATTTTTTCTAATAAAAATTTCATTAGATTTAAACATCTAGCAGTTAAATGCTAAAAAAATATATAACTATAAGTGCTATTTCTTCTTTCAAATGTTTAATACTTGTAAAGGTATTCATTTGACATTGTGGGTTACCTACAATGCGAAGAGATGGCGCTGCCTTGCAGCCTAAGAAATGCTACAGCCAATCTTATTATTATGTATACTAGCAAACCAGTGAACCAAATGTTCACCAAAACCTGATTTAAAAACAAAATGTATTTAATTAATTGAGAACTTCGGAGATTTTGTGTGGTTTCGTTTGAAATTCGTGATTTCTCGAAAACCGGAAGTGCTACGTTACTCAAATCCGGATTGTAGTCTTATCAGACTATTCTTAACTTATAACTTAAACATTCTCTTTATCTATCTCTTACGGTTTGGCCGCTGAAACAGCACCACAGACGGACGGACGGACTTGTCTAATAGATAAGAGATTACAGAAACTTATTATTATGTATACATTAAATCACCACAAATTCTATTTATAGTGTTTTTTTCCAAAGTTTTCTTATCTTATATATAAAATTCTCGTGTCACGGTGTGCGTAATTGAACTCCTCTTAAACGGCTCGAATGATTTTCGTGAAATTTTATATGCATACTAGCTGACCCAGCGAACTTCGTACCGCCATAAAAAAGTAAGGGTTGGTGGTAGAAGGGTGAAAAGTGAATCTAAACCATTCTCAGATCCCCTTGAACACACACAAAAAATTTCATCAAAATCGGTCCAGTCGTTTAAGAGAAGTTCAGTGACATACACACTCACAGAAGAATTATATATATAAAGATTCAGTAGGTCTGAGAACCGGACAACATTTCTTTTTCATCCCCCTACTAAATGCTAAATGTTTAAGGGTTTTTTTTGGCCAAATTTTTTTGTTTTTTTTATGATACACCATACAAAAATACATACAACCCTAAATTTCCACTCTTCTACCACCAATTCCTATTTTTTTATATATATAATTCTTCTGTGAGTGTGTATGTCACTGAACTTCTCTTAAACGACTGGACCGATTTTGATGAAATTTTTTGTGTGTGTTCAAGGGGATCTGAGAATGGTTTAGATTCACAATTTTGTCCGCTGGACAACCCCTATTTTTTTAGGGCGGTACGAAGTTCGCTGGGTCAGCTAGTATTGTATAAAAAAGATATTACTTATATTATTATTATTTTATTTTAACAATAAAAAGTTATATAATACCTCTCTCGAGCGCTTCGCTCTAGGTTCAGCGATGTCTTTGTCCTTCTCACCGTCCTCTTTAGATTCGCCGTCCTGCTTCACCTCCTTGCTTTTATCGTTCCTCTCTTTCTTATCATTCGGCTTTTCCTTCTCCTCGCTAACAGTCTCTTTCTCACTCGCTCCGTTGTCTTTGCCCGTCTCGTTATCCAGTTCTTTACTCGTGTTCTCAATCTCCTTCTCTGGTATTTCTTTCTCCTTATCTTCCACGTTATTTTCGTTGGTAACTTCTTTATTTGTATTTGTAACTTCTTCGTTCGTTGTTGATGCGACATCTTCTTTGCTGGATTCCTTCTCTTTATTGTCAATTGGTAATTCCTCTTTGTCGTTCTCTGGTGGTTTGTCTGTGGTCTCCTCTGGTTTGTCTTCTGCGTCGCTCTTTTTGGCGTCCTTCTCTTCCTGCTGTTTGTTTCTGGACGATTGTCGTTTCGTTGAAGGCTTTGATGGCGTGCTGTTCGTTGATGGCTTCTTGGCTTTAACTGTAGAAGATAAAATTAACATTTAACTATTTTAAAATCAATATATAATCAAGTATGATAAATAACTTTCTGCGTCATATTAGTATTGTATTTTATTCTCAACGATATTAAATACTCTAGATACATAAATGTGTCCCTCTTAAGAAGTGCTTGAACGTCACTCAAGCACTTCTTGGTTCACAGTCACGCGCGGACCGTTGAAAAGTCAACATGCCGCTGAGCTTCGTGAAAAAATGCGAAATAAATAGTAATAGTATGTAAAATGTCGTTTTTTTCAACAGGTATCTAATCAATGTTTCTTAATTTAACGCATTTGAAACAAATTTTGTTTCAATACTTACTATAAACTGATTTAATAGAAAATATTTGTGATATTCTTTTCCTTGCGGTCCGTACCTGCTAAACTGCTAACAGCGCATTCAGAATTGTCAAAGAAATAAGGTTTTATTCTTCCGCATATAGCAATAAGTCGTAAAATTTTACGAGCTTACATTTCGGACTGTCATAACTCTTTGACGCATGCGTTTTAATTAAGACCTTATACAGTGTGCTTTAAAGGTCATTTTCAATGTTTTAATTGTGCCTTTTAAAGTTTTGACTACGCGATCATCTTACGGAACTCCGTGGATCGTTCAATGTACCATTTGGACAGGTTTCGGGCACGATTTTGTTCGTGTTGGTGTATCTAGGGTATTATATATCGTTGTTTATTCTGCCTAGATTGTAATTTAAACATCGACGACTCTGTTGTTTACTTAAAAACTCTAACCTCCATATTAATAAACGTGGAATAGGCTTAGATTAGTTACACCGTGTTTTGCTCATATCACTCAAAAGCCATATGTCATTCAGTGAATAGAGACATAACATAGATTAACTAATCCAGCCTTATTCTTTCTTTACTAATTAGGGGGTAATGGGTTTATGTTACACTTTATTTCTGTACTTTGAAATGTGTCTGTGTATTTATTTATCAGGCTTATATGTATATTATGTACTAGCGGCCCGCCCTCGCTTCGCTTCGGTGTAGAGCTGTAGTGTAGATTTCAATGACTCTTTTCATATAAGTATTTATAAAAAAACTAAAAATGGTATATTTGCTTTTTCCAAACTTCTATTGACATCACTTCGCTCAATTTTGCCTTCCCGGAACCTCTCCACTAACATTTGAAATTTATGGTATGGTATTAAAGTTCAAATCGTTTGTATGGGAGTATAGAAGTGTTGTTTTTGGACATTTCCAGGCATTTTATTATTTTTTCTCTGCGTAAGAACCATCCTCGTACTTCAAGGAATATTCTAAAAAAAGAATTATCGAAATCGGTTCAGCTGTTCTCGAGATTTGCGCTCAGTAACACATTCAGGGATTCATTTTTATATTATAGAAGATGAAGTCAAATAAACACATGACCTTATTTATATTGGAAGACCTTCATGGCAAAGTGGTTTATACACAGGGTTTCAAGGTGTCGCCTACTCGAGATGACCCGGGTTCGAATCCCGGTGGGGGTAGATGTTTGTGTGATGAATACGAGCATTTGTGCTCCAGTCATGGAGGTTTAATATGTATTTCTATATAAACATTCTTATATATGTATTCCATCCGTTACCCTAGTATCTCTTAACACAAGCCTTACAGTGCTTACTTTAGGGCTAGGCTAATTAGTGAATATTTTTATAATTTATTTATTTATACTAAAAATTTCTTTTGAAATAATATTTTAATCAGTATTGTTCGTAAGTATTTTAGAAATTCAGTCAGTAGTGTTTGAATATGTTTATTACAGGAAAACAAAATTTTCCTCTCTACAATCTTCATTATCATCAGCCTATTAATGCCCCCACTGCTGGGGCACAGGCCTTCCCTATGGATGGAATAGGGAGATATAATATTTGTAAAGATATGGGTTAACCTACCTGGTGTGGATTTCTTTTTGTCCTTTTCTTTCGTTTCCTCTTCTTGTGTCGGTGGCTCTTGTTCATTCGCGGCTTCTATAGCAGTTTTCATCGTATGAGATGTTGGTATCGACATTTCTATAACAAAACAAATAATTTGTTATGTTTTTATTTTTTTAAGCATTTAACTGCTAGATGTTTAAATCTAAAGAAAAGTTTTACTAGAAAAAAATCCACGCGGACCGGGTAGCGGACGGGACTCGAACCCGCACCCTTCGCAATCCGGGCGAATGCACTGACAACTAATTTGTTTTAAACTATTATTCTGTAATACGAGCCTAAAATGGGGCTGTTCAAGTATCACGCGAGTTATTGAAATCATTTCCTTACTAGCGACCGCCCGCGACTTCGTACGCGTGGAGTTAGTGAGAAATAAAGGTTCACTGCTCGTCCCGTAGGTGATAGCGGGATAATATGTAGCCTATATGGTGAAGTCGGGTCACCTGAATAATATTCGTGCCAAAGGAGATTGCTCAAATTGGCCCAAATGCACAAAAAAATTTGACATAATTATACGGTAATTCTTGGCGTAATTTATACTTTATTTTACAGTCATTAGATTTTAACGGACACCTTTGTATAATATATTCATTTTAAAAAGGACTTTTAATTTTACCGGTTTCGAAAACATACGTATATTTTTTAATGGCTATGGGTGTAGTAACATTCAGCCAAAGACTGATCGATGTTGTTTGTATAACATAAAATCAAATCTATTTTGTAAAGATCGATAAAATAAAACATTATTTTATTACACTGTGGTATTAATATCCACAACTATATTATCATTTTCAGTACATGCACATGTGCTCAGACAATTATTATAGATGATAGGCGACATCATAAAGTCTATTGCCATACATTTTTCGCCAAACACCTCCATAAACACATTATAAGGTGTGATACACTAAAAATCTAACATATGGTTATAATATAAACATAACAAATATAATGAAGCTTCTGAAGATATGGCTGTATAACCTAAATCTCATAGCTTTCTTTGGTTAACGAGAGTTTAAAAATTCTCTCTAATCTGTAGCTCGTTCACAATCCTCACACAGTTTCTGTCACAAAGTACCTTATTATAACCGGAAATGCATAGATGATACCTGATTTTAAAAGTTACTCTTGTGCATTAACTTTAAAAACAGGCAACTATATGTTAATCTACGTGCTCTATATACCTGAATCTAATACACAATTTCGGTACTTGGCTTGATTTCCCTAGTTTACTATATAATTTATTTATTTTTTATTATTTTAATACCTATGTACCTATTTGCAAACATAACCTCAAAATCATTCAGTGTATATGGTTTATAGAAGTTCTCAGAGGTGTCCGTCAATAATATTCGTTTCTACAGTAATTTATATATAATTTCAAATCTAGGAAACAATTTTTAATGATTATTGGTCTTTAGGCCAAACATGTATGGAAGCTGAGCAATCTCCTTTGAAGTAAATTTTTGAGTTCCCCTCTAGTAGCTTATATCCAAAAGACTGACGATTTGGGCGCGACCAAAAGTCATGACCGTTCGTTGAAATTTTGTTTTTGCTGCCCTAGACGTTTGGCCGTACTTATAGGGCTCAGGAGGCCTACTCTATTTCAACGAAAAACGAATTTTTGATCGAATTTTCGCACGTTCTTTACTCTGTTTCTATTTCATTTCGAAAATTCGCTCGTCCAAAAATAATTTGACATTTATATTCTCTAAGCCTACTCTAAATCACAAAACTTTTGAACTAAAAGTTGAATTTGACATCTCAAATTGACGAAATGAAAGTGTAACATTTTCGTTTTGGGATTTTTGTTTAAATTATACCTTTAATTACTACTAGAGTATTTTTAATTAAGGCTGCTTAGCGTGAGGATCATTTTTCAGTATGAAAAATTTGCAAACTAATACTTCAAAGTGTTACACGACAAATTTAGGTTGACATACATTCGATTGCATCAACTCTACAAATTAGTCGGCTGACACTGTCAAAAAAGGTTGTTTTAATGTAATCAAAAATGGTGTCACAAAGTTGATATTAAAACAATAGTTTTGAAGTAAAAAAGTTATCTAAAAAGTGTAGACAAAAAGAAGTCACAAACATAACTCATTCCATTCGTTCACGATAATTGTCTGTGATTCCGAACTTTATGTGCGTGTTCGAAGATGAAATAGAGTAGAGTCACTGGCGAAATTTCATTTAAAATTCGTTCGTTGCCGAAATTTCGTTTCGGAGAAAGAGAGTAGAGCTCCTGGTATGGTGGAAGTACTTAACTAGGTGCAAGGTTGCTTCCCATATGTTATTCTGCCGCGCTCGAGTAAATCCAAAAATCCCCGCTTGCGCTCCCCTACTATAGTATCTCTTATCTATTAGACAAGTCCGTCCGTCCGTCTGTCTGTGGTGCTGTTTCAGCGGTCAAACCGTAAGAGATAGATAAAGAGAATGTTTAAGTTATAAGTTAAGAATAGTCTGATAAGACTACAAACCGGATTTGAGTAACGTAGCACTTCCGGTTTTCGAGAAATCACGAATTACAAACGAAACCACACAAAATCTCCGAAGTTCTCAATTAATTAAATACATTTCTTTTTTTTTTTTATTGGTGAACATTTGGTTCACTGGTTTGCTAGTTATTTCTATAGCATTATGCTTTACTATATTGTACTATTAGTCCAGTCAGTATTGTCGCGAAATCCGTTTTTCCTCAAACAGCTGGAACTATGCTAAAAAGTTTCTTAAGATAGTAAAGAACACTTTACATAGAGAAAAAAATGTTTCCAACCCCGGGCAAGGGTGAAAACCACCCTTAATAATCTATTTTTCCAATTATCTCAAAAAGTATACGAGATACGGAAAAAAACTTCAAATGAAAATTGTAGATCTTTTTGAAATCTACAAAACATTATTCCACCCTCTTGCCCCTATTTTCAATAGGGGAGCCAATAATCGAAGTCAAAGATAACTTTTTTAACTAACTTTAACTTTTTAAGTATTGAATCTTTGACTTCGATTATTGGCTCCCCTATTGAAAATAGGGGCAAGAGGGTGGAATAATGTTTTGTAGATTTCAAAAAGATCTACAATTTTCATTTGAAGTTTTTTTCCGTATCTCGTATACTTTTTGAGATAATTGGAAAAATAGATTATTAAGGGTGGTTTTCACCCTTGCCCGGGGTTGGAAACATTTTTTTCTCTATGTAAAGTGTTCTTTACTATCTTAAGAAACTTTTTAGCATAGTTCCAGCTGTTTGAGGAAAAACGGATTTCGCGACAATACTGACTGGACTATATAGCATTATGCAATCTCACCTGGTGGTTCGTGCACTAGCTCCAATAATTCGTCGGCAGACATCGCCGATGTGACTTTCTTGAAGTGCAACACTCTCTCCGAGAAGAATTCCCAGAAGGACAGACCCTCCGGCGTTGTGAACAGAGTCTACGAGAACAAAGAGCAATAATGAATAATCTAACAAACATCAGAAGCATCAAATACCATCACTTCATTTCATATTGGTTATTATTACAATTATTTACATTATGAAGAGATTCAATCAATCAATCAAAATCATTTATTCAGTTTAAATAAATAAATAAATATTTTCAACACTCACACCAATTAGCCTAGCCCCAAAGTAAGCACTGTAAGGCTTGTGTTATGGGATGCTAGGGTAACGGATAGAATACATATACTTTACATATATAAGTATATTTATATAGAAATACATATGAAACATCCATGACTGGAGTACAAATGCTCGTATTCATCACACAAACATCTGCCCCCACCGGGATTCGAACCCGGGACCTCTCGAGTCGGCGACACCATGAAACCCGGCGTACAAACCACTCGACCACAGAGGTCGTCATTCAAATATTTACATCTTAAATATCAAAGTAGTTAGGGCAGACGGAACGATTTGTATGTTTGCCCGTCATGAATAAACTCAGAAATCCTCACAGACTGATAACAATCGATAAACAGACGAATAGTTATTACCTAGAAAATACCTATTCATTATAGTTATGAAAGCGCCTAATTAACAATTCTTAGCAATTCCAATTTTCTGCTCAATTGCAGCTCGAGAAACGTATGATAACTGTACTCTTTGTTAGTATATTGTTAAAAAAACCGCAACTTCTAGAGAATTTACAACTTTACTATTTTGTTTCCTAATATTACAACTATCATATGACATTTATCGCATTCGTGTACACCAATTTTATCGGGTGGGTCAAACCTCTATGGAACTTATGGCATTCTCCTTTCATCCAAATCCATTAAGCCATTTTTTCGTGATTGAGCAAAGCTGGCTGTGCGATGTAATATGCTGGCCCGAAGATTTGCACGGTGTATGGATGCAGTAAAGGTCACTCTTTTTAAGACTTACTGCCAATCTATATATATAAAACTCAAAGGTGACTGACTGACTGACATAGTGATCTATCAACGCACAGCCCAAACCACTGGACGGAGCGGGCTGAAATTTGGCATGCAGGTAGATGTTATGACGTAGGCATCCGCTAAGAAAGGATTTTGATCAATTCTACCCCCAAGGGGATAAAATAGGGAATGAAAGTTTGTATGAATCTTTGTCAATTTTAAACCGATCGGGCTGAGACTTTGCATGCAGGCATAAGAAGAATCACAGATGAATGTCATTGTGTATAATACAAGCCTGAGAACAAAAACTGTGGTCTACACTTCAGCTCTACACCGAAGCGAAGCGAGGGCGGGCCGCTAGTTCTTTATAATTCTTTATTATACTAACATATTTATAAGTAAATCAAATGTAACTAACACTATGGAACCTAGTTCTGAAGTAAATAATTTGAATTGAATGGAAAGCAACCAAACAAAATTCCACATTCATGATTATCTTACCTTCATATGTGTGTAGAGAGAATCCGCCTGCTTCCTGATCTTATGCGCCTGTTTACTGAATTGTATGGCCGCTTGTTCGGACAAGTCCCAAGAAGGTGTATTTCCAACGTAAGCCCTCATGCGTTTAACAGTTTCCAAACAGGACGGGTGTTTTAGTAACATTAGGGGTTTAACGTCTAAGTCTGTGGAGAAATAAAATTTTAATTCACTAAATTTTTAAACATAGGGGAAACCACCCAATCATTGGCACTCTTCCTATTATTGGCACGAGTTTAGTTCGAAAAAACCAGGAAACAATAATAATAATAATTTTATTTTCAATAAGTTGTTACATCATGAACACATTAATTAATCAAATTCTTCAAGTTTTTCAACAATCGTAGATACATAACAGAGATAATAAAAGGTGTATTTTTTTTTTGTTTTTTTTTTTGACTAAACGTAACAATACTGTAGCATTTACTGTGGGTCCCACACTAGGAGAAACCTGTATCGTGGGCACCCTAATGTAATAAATAGGATGGCGTCACATTAATAATTTATATGTAATTATTATTTGTAACAAAACAAACGTAATGAAATCAATTATAAATATTAAATTAAAATCAATATTGTATGTATGTGTATGTCTGTCTATGTGTGTTTCCGTGTGTGTGTGTGTTGGTGTGTGTGTGTATGTGGAGAAGAATAGATATAGATTGTAGAAATAATACTGCCAATGTTCAAATTTCGAAACCATACTAGGTTTTTTCTTTTTAATATGTAACGACCTTGAATAATCTATTGTCTCCTTGTTTTTTCGAATTAAACTCAAAAGTGCCAATAATAGGACGAGTGCCAATGATTGGGTGGTTTACCCTATATGTACATAATAAATTCTAAAATTAGTGTAATGACGACCTCCGTGGCAGAGTGGTTTGTACGCCGGGTTTCAAGGTGTCGCCGACTCGAGAGGTCCCGGGTTCGAAACCCGGTGGGGGCAGATGTTTGTGTAATGAATACGAGCATTTGTACTCCAGTCATGGATGTTTAATACGTATTTATATAAATCTACTATATAAAAATGGTTGCCTGTAAAGTCGGTTTTACGGGCGAAGATTTTACGTGCCAACGTCTTTTTCTCGGTAGAATATTTATTGATATGAATATAATTAAATTGCACAATAGGAACAAGGAATTGAATGAAAATAAGAATTGCACAAATTTTAACTATAGAAATATATTTTGTTTACTAAAACATTGTACATGTAAACTTAAACTTAACACGAGAGACTCATCGTAACGTTACCGAGCGTTACACTTTTTCATAAGTGACTCCCAGCCGCAACCTAATTTAAGACGTTGTCACGTCAAAAAAAAACTTCTTTTAATCACCAAACGAAATGTTACATAAAACGAAGCCATCTGGTGGCGAAACGGAGTTCGCCGGGTTTGCTAGTATACTTATATATGTACAGTATATGTATTCTATCCGTTACCCTAGTATCCCATAACACAAGCCTTATAGTGCTTACTTTGGGGCTAGGCTAATTGGCGTGAGTGTCGGAAATATTTATTTATTTATTTAGTGTGCATGCATCTGCAGTGAAACTTCTTTTAAATAAAATGATATTTTCGTGCCTATCTATCGCTTGTTCCGCGCTCTCGCTTGCTCGCTCCGGCTGAAGCGGAACGTGACACTTTTTCGTGCGTGCGTGCCGGTGTTCATCGATTTATAACACGTTATCACGTCAAAAAAAGTAGTTATTAACTATGTAAGTCTTTTGTAAGTTAGAGGTTACGGGCTCTCCAATTCGAGCGAAAAATCCGCTACGCTCTATCTCACTTAATAAATAATTAATGGAACGATAAAGGTAATAATACTAATGAAATAACTCACCATTAAGTTCGTCGAGTAATTTCAGACACAGCTCGGTGTCTGCCTTCTCCAGACACAGGCACGTCTTGATTTTAGCGTCCAGTTCGATCAATTTCATTTCTGTCTTCAAAAACTGCACTCTCGACTTTTTCTCCTCTGAAGAAAGAAATTGAGACATAGTTATAATTTAGTTATAGTCAGAAAATATAACTAGAAAAAATTCCACGCGGACCAGGCAGCAGACGGGACTCGAACCAGCACCCTTCGCAATCCGGGCGAATGCACTGACCAATTATGCTACCGCGGCCCTCACGGACCGCGTCGAAATTCCTCTAGCCATTCTTAAGCTGCAAGGCAGCGCCATATTCAATTTCTTTTCTAGTTATATTTTCTTAGATTTAAACATCAAGCAGTTACATGCTTTAAAAAATAAAAATTATAAAAAATTATTATTCAAATTGAATCCACAATACAACTCTTTTGAATCGTTCATATTTTTTAAGCTATGGAAAAAAAACTGGCGAAAAAAGCTACACAGCATTAAATAATTATGTAACAATGTTAAGAAAATATTATAGTCATAATTTATATTTTTTGAAGCATAGAACTGCTTGATGTTTAAATCTAAAGAAAATATAAATAGAAAAAATTCCACGCGGTCCAGGCAGCAGATGGGACTCGAACCCGCACCCTTCGCAATCCGGACCGCGTCGAAATTCCTCTAGCCATTTTTAAGCTGCAAGGCAGCGCCATCTCTTCGCATTATAGGTAACCTACAATGTCAAATGAATACTTTTACAATTAGTAAACATTTGTGCGGGTTCGAGTCCCGTCTGCTGCCTGGTCCGCGTGGATTTTTTTCTAATTTTTCTAGTTATATTTTCTTTAAATATTATATTGTTACGGTATCGATAAAAAATCATATCATCTTCATCATACTTATAGAAAAAGCCTGCCGGACCGTTTGGAACAATTTAAACCCAAGCATTTTTGTCTGAAATATAATCAGACACCTCATAACAAGGCTTTATTATTGAGAACTATTTAGATAGATATATAGACAAATTATTTATTGCACACACACTAAAATACAAAAAAGTAAATAATAACATAATGTGGGCAAAGGCGGCCCTATCGCTTTAAGCGATCTCTTCCAGACAACCTTTGCGGTAAAGGATAGTTAAACGAAGAGGAAGTTGTAGTATGCCAGCAAGATAAAACAAAGAAACATACATATTTTCTTGAACATATACAGATATTAAAAAAATAAAGAATATATACCTACACAAATATATACATACTATATATCTACACACATACCTATTATGCATCTAATATATAAAATTCTCGTGTCGCGGTGTTTGTGGTTAAACTCCTCCGAAACGGCTTTCCCGATTCTCATGAAATTTTGTGTGCATATTGGGTAGGTCTGAGAATCGGACAACATCTATTTTTCATCCCCCTAATTGTTAAGGGTAATCCAGCCTAAATTTTTTTTTTCAAGTTTAGATATTTTTTTTAATTTTTTTTATGATACATCATACAAAAATACATACATCCCTAAATTTTCAACTTTCTACCACCAACCCCTATTTTTTTATGGCGGTACGAAGTTCGCTGGGTCAGCTAGTATATTTATAGATTTCTTCTCAAGTAGAGTGAAATACCCTATTAAATAAGTAAAGGTGGGGTTATCTCTAAAAAAGACCTCTTCCAGCCAACCCCATAAAATAATAAATCAATTTTTGTTTCTTAGGTTTTCACGCACATCACTCATTAAATAAAACTAGTTTTAACGGGTTAATGCACGAACTTTATTTATTTATTGACGTTTCGCAGCCTTTTCAGGTCTGCATCGTCAGAATAATGATTTTTTATTTACTTAGTCGAGCTACCTTGATATAATAAATCAAATCAAAATATACGATACTAAAGAATACCTTTGTAAGACTTCTGTCGCCTTAGGGTAAATAAATATGTATGATTTATATTCATAATTTTGAATTTGCAGTACGAAGAAAAACTTACCAGTCTCCCGTTCTTTGTCCAAAGAAGCTTTCTCTTCATCGGTCAGGTTCAAATCCATCACAAGTTGAGCGGCCACCGACTGTGGGGTGATTTGACCTCTTTCTGTAAATACATACACAACCAACGATTTAATGATAATTCAAGACCTGTGAAATCAACACATGAAGCAGAGCGAAAATTTTCCTATATCTAACACAGTTCCCGTAGCATGAGTACCTCAATTTACGTTGTATCAATGCGTTTAACTGTCAAAACGCTATAGTAATTTGACAATTGAGAGTGAAAACGAGTTATAAGCACTTGTTTCATATAACTAGTAGGAGGGCAGGAAAGACAAGAATCAAAGCCCTTGTTGTGTAAAAAACAAGTACACTCCCAATTGCCTAACAAAAGTGCATCAAAAGAAGTAACATTAACATATTTGTTTAAATTAAAACGATATACCGTGGCAGTAAGGTTCAATGTCCACTGTATACAAGCGAGATAGTAATAGGGTATTTGACAGTATTAAAAATAAAGTGCCAATTGTATTCATCTGTATTTGGAATGAATATTGGCAGGGGTTTTTACTATTTTTATAAAAAAAAAATCATAATTTTACTAAAAACCCACGAAAACGACAATAGTTTCGTTATCTATTGTCACGTGCCCCACAACGCTTGGGATTGGCGGAGCCTAAAATGACGTCACACGCAAGTAAACTTCCGGTTAAAGTGACATTACATTGTATCGTTTGACGTTTTAATAACAGTCGTGTGACGTCACACACTAGTAAGACGCCATATTGTCCAGAAAAACGTTTTCGCGGTAACTTGAAAATGGAGTTTTTGATTTGGTTATTTTTGCTGAAATACACAGCGGAATGATGGATATCCACTTTTCACGGATTCCATAAACATTAGTCAATAACGTGAGATCGTTTTCTAAAACTTGTCAAATACCCTATTACGCACAATAGAAGAATATGCGTAATTTAGATTCCAACACTTTTTGAACGAGATTGTGAGTCTACTTAATAACACAATTGTCTTAACTCTAATTTGACAATCTGTCCTTTTCATTCTTGACAGAGTATAACAAGAATACACAGTTCCAAACAAGAAACATCTAGAAGAAAAATCATGCCAGAATCGGGAACCAATCTCTAAAATATATTGAGAAGTTTTCAAATTAAAATATAACTTTATATTCATCATCATCATCATAAGCCTATTAATGTCGCCACTGCTGGGGCACAGTATGATGACCCACCAAACGGGCCCAGTGCGGATTGGCGGGTGCTAACGACTGCAGATGCAGCCGGGACCAACGGCTTAACGAGCCTTCCGAAGCACGAAGGAAATCAAGATAGAAGTTTTTTTGGTCACCCATCCAATAACCGACCACTGCGAAAGTTGCTTAACTTCAACGATCGCAGCCGAACGCGCTCCTCTTTCTATATAATAAGAAGTCTTCAAAAATGAAATATTACTCACCCAGTTGTTGTTTCAACGTGATAGAATTGCTCGCAGACTGTTTCTCCCAGGCCAGTCTTGCTGCGTCGTTCTTGAACGAGCTGGGTTTGGATTGGAACAGCTTTATTCCCACATAGAGGCCGGTGGGCAAGTATGTGATCAATATGTTGTCCTTGTCAGAGTCTTCTATAACAAATAAATGAATAAAATAAATATTTTGTAACACTCACACCAATTAGCCTAGCCCTAAAGTAAGCACTGTAAGGCTTGTGTTATAGGGTGCTAGGGTAACGGATGGAATACATAATATCATCATCATCATAAGCCTATCAATGTTCCCACTGTTGGGGCACAGGCTTTTCCTATGGATGGAATAGGGAGATTGGGCCGTGACCCACACAACGCGAGCCCAGTGCGGATAAGGTATTTGACAGTATTAAAAATAAGGTGCCAATTGTTAGCATCTGTATTTAGAATGAATATTGGCAGGAGTTTTTACTATTTTAACAGAAAAAATATTCACAATTTTACTAAAAACCCACGATAAAGATAATAGTTTTCTTGTCTTTTGTCACGTGACCCAAAACGCTTGGGATTGGTGGAGCCTAAAATGACGTCACACGCAAGTAAACTTTCGGTTAAAGTGACATTAGACTGTATGGTTTGACGTTTAATAACAGTCGTGTGACGTCACACACCAGTGAGACGCCATATTGTTCAGAGATACGTCTTTCGCGGCAACTTGAAAATAGAGTTTCTGATTTAATTTTTTTACCGAAATACACAACAGAATGATGAATATCCACTTTTTACGGACTCTATAAACATTAGTCAATATCGTGAGATCGTTTTCTAAAACTTGTCAAATACCCTATTGGCGGGTGCTAACGACTGCAGATGCAGCCGGGACCAATGGCATAACGTTCCTTGTGAAGAAAGGAGGAACTCGAGATAGATGATTTTTGGGCACCCATCCAATGAACGACCATCGCCATCGAGCTCCTCATACATAACATACTCACACATATATAAGTATATTTTCTTAAGAGATACATATAAACATCCATAACTTACGTGCAAATGCTAGTATTCATCACACAAACATTTGCCCTACCGGGATTCGAACCCGGGACCCCTGAGTAGGGGACACCGTGAAAACCGGCGTATATATCACTTGAGCTACGGAGATAGTCAAATGAAATCAAAATAACAGTCGCGTTGGGAAAAGGCTCATCCAGTTTTCAAAAAAAGTTTAGTCAAGCTGCTGCGAGTAAATATTACCTTTACCAAAATTTATACTTAACAGAACGAATGTTGTATAGAAAATAATGTTAAACGCAAAAATTGTTTGAATTTTCATATTGCGACATACTCGGAAAATTGCAGAGCATACACTGAAAGAGTTTCCTATAATAATCATAATCATTTATTCAGTTTAGGCTGTTACAAGCACTCATGAATGTCTAGAAGCTACGCCATCGGTTCGTAAATCTACGGCGGGAGAGCTTGTACTGAGAAGAACCGGCAAGAAACTCAGCAAGGGCTGTTTTTTTCTCCCTGTTTTATTATTTACAGAGTCGTACAGAAATATACATTAATTATTTACCTGCATTTTGATTGCTGTGTCACACAGTATAAATACAAATAGTGTTATTTATATTAGGTGTAACTAAACATTAACAATTAAAAGAGGAGCTCGATGGCGCGGGTGGTTAGCGCTTTCGGCTGCGATCGTTGAAGTTAAGCAACTTTAGCAGTGGTCGGTCTTTGGATGGGTGACCAAAAATTTACTATCTCAAACTCCTCCGTGCTTCGGAAGGCACGTTAAGACGTTGGTCCCGGCTGCATCTGCAGTCGTTAGCACCCACCAATCCGCACTGGGCCCGCGTGGTGGGTAATGGCCCAATCTCCCTATGTAGGGAAGGCCTGTGCCCCAGCAGTGGGGACATTAATAGGCTGATGATGATGAAACATTAACATTTTAAATATCAAAGTAGTTAGGGCAGACTCATTTCCGCTGGCAGCACCCGTTCACGAGCATGACGCATGAATCAGCCATCGCTTCGCTCAACCATATTTTAGGGAACGTAACTTTGATATTTAAGATGTAAATGTCTAGTTACACCTTATGACACAGCAATCAAAAAGCAGGTGAACAATTAATGTATATTTCACATTATGTAATAGATAGATAGATATAGATAAATATTTCCAACACCCACACCAATTAGCCTAGCCCCAAAGTAAGCACTGTAAGGCTTGTGTTATGGGATGTTAGGGTAACGGATAGAATACATATACTGTAGATATATAAGTATAAATATATAGAAATACATATTAAACATCCATGACTGGAGTACAAATGTTAGTATTCATCACACAAACATTTGCCCCCACCGGGATTCGAACCCGGGACCTCTCGAGTCGGAGACACCATGAAACCGTACAAAACCACTCGGCCACGGAGGTCATCAATGCGATTATGCAAATGCGTTAAATTAACAAACAATTGACTAGATACCTGTCGAAAAAACGACACTTTTCGTACTCTAAGTATTATTTTCGCATTTTTTCGCGGAGCTCTGTGGCATCTTGACTTGGCAACGGTCCGCGCGTGACTGTGAACCAAGAAGTGCTTGAGTGGAGTTCAAGCACTTCTTGATTGGGACACATTTTGAGCGCTCATGGTGTATCTAGGGTATTTAATATCGTTGTTTAATGGATATAAGCAGTTAATTTTACACCGTAGGCCTCCCTGTAGTTACTAAAAGTGAGTTACGATGTTTTTCCTTGCAGGTGTTGATATGTAATGTATATATATACACATATCTTATCATATATAAATTACGCGTCACGTTGTTTGTCCGGAACGAACTCCTAAGCTATTTAACCGATTTTAATCAAATTTGCACACCGTGTGCAGTTTGATCCAACTTGAAAGATAGGATAGCTTACATCTCAATTTATAGTCGCAATATTATTTCATTGCAAATTATTACTTTTGGGCGGTACAAAGTTCGCAGAGTTAGCTAGTATATCTTATATATAAAATACAATGTTAGTTACCATACTCCTCCGAAACGGCCAGACCGATTTTTATGAAATTTTATATGCGTATTCCGTGGGTCTGAGAATCGGCTACTATCTATTTTTCATATCCTTAAGTGGTAATGGTTGTCCACCTGTAACGTAGTGTTCTGAAACCTATAATGCGCCTCCGCGCCAATATTACAATAGTTATTTTTTTATAATGTGGTATTAAAAAATACATACAACGTAACGAAACGTCAATAAATAAATAAAGTTTCGTGCATTAACCCGTAAAAACTAGTTTTATTTAATACATACAACCCTAAATTTTCTCTTCTACCACCTGCCCTTATTTTTATGGCGGTACGAAGTTCGCTGGGTCAGCTAGTATACATATATAAATGTATTTTTTTGATCATGTCGGAACTTAAGGTCTGTTTTCATATTATGTTTCGGTACTGTTAGGTCTATTTCATAAAAACAATATTTAACATTTAGCTATTTTTGTAAAATATATGACTGTTTGTTGCCAAAACACAAAAAAAATATACATCATTATTACTTCTGAATCAATTTTAATTCAAAATAATATAATTTTAATTTTTTAAACATAACAACAAAATCATTTTCTGTTCTTCTTGATTCTAAATTTATTCTCTTTGGGATACATTTTCAATATCATCTCCAAAGTATCTTTAATTTCTAAATTTTCATCATTGTCATCTGCATTTACATAAGAATTCTTCACAAAATCAGCATAATGCATATTGAATCCCATATCACCATTCACAATAGACATACCTACGGGTTTAAAATTATCAATAATAGGTTTATTCAGAAATAAATTAATATAATCATCCTTTTCAAGTATTTTATGTTCGTTGTTCAATTTATTTTCAAAGCTTTTACTGTCCAAATCTTTATAGACTTTTAAGGAAGCGACAGAAGAGTGAGACAGTTGTCTATCTAGCTCTTTCACGCTTGTTCTATCAGTTTCTTGAGTATTGTTTGGTGTTAAGGCCATTTCCTCTTCGTTAAGGATGTTGATCGAGTCAAATATGAGTCCAGAAAACGGATTTGAGTTTCCATTCTTTCCAGAATGTTCTGTAACATGGTCGTCTTTGTACTTAGATTGGATTGGTTTTGGAGTAGTGTTGTATTTGTCACATTCTTTTGTCAATTTTGTGTTGTTGCAATCAATTTGGGAAGTTTTGGAGTTGAATGGGTCATTCAAAGTGGTTTTTTCGGTCTTTTTTGTGGGTGGAACAAATTTTTTAGTTTTCGTTACGTTTGAATTAGAGTTTTTTATTGTTTTAGCTAGCTGTGGCACTATTTTTGTTTCATTTTCTTGGGATGTTTGCTGTTCTGAAAATGTTTTAGGATTAAGTATTGCAAAGTTCGATCTAGAAGTTGCGCGTCTTAAACCAAATTAGATGTTAATATTTTAAGTGTAGATAAAGCAAATCTTCTACCTGCCCCTTAGATTAAAACAAAAAGGGAAGATACGGCACTCGCGGCTCAAAGGTGATCTTTTAAAAATTAAATTAAATTGTGGTGCATGAACACAATAGGGGTGATGATGGGGTACAGTAAACGAAATTCTATTTAGTCCGTCAGTTAGATGATCAAAAAATAATGGACACGTATTTTTTCTTTGGGAAATCAACCAAAAAATGACAAAGTTATAGAGCGTCAGAGTTTGGGAGTAGGGGCTCGTGACGTCACTTTTGAGTGAATTTTCACTTATAAGTGTACTCAAACGTGACGTCATGCGACTTTTCAAATCAATATATCTCTGCAATATTTATATTATGTGAAAAAAGAAAAAATACGTGTCCAATACTTTTTGAAAATCTACCTGATAAACGAAGAAAAAAAAATAGTCATCATCCCTATTCGCTTTAGTCACAATTGGACATCCAAACACGCTGCATGTGCACTCAATATAACAATATTGCGTATATTCTGTGTTATAAAGATAAAACAATGCCTTCGATGCTTTTATAAAGAACACAAATAGTTTAAGATCAAATAACAAATGCCACGGCGACACTTTTCATTTGTAAAACTATAAAAGGAACATTTTTTCTCAAAAATCACGGTTTGCCATGAATGTTAGTTACTGACTCGCCTTTTTTTATCAAGCAAAGGACAACAATACAACCCAGCTGTCTGTACGAGGCGGACTCGCTCCGTTTCGCTCGCTCTGCGTTGAAGCGTACAGTACCCTTAGCACGAACCAATATCGAATTCGTATCGTTTGCGAGTCCGAAATGTCATTGTCAAATTTTGTATGGAAATTTGAACAGCAGCGCCACAGCGGACGTAACCAGAACTAAAAATCAGTACACATTTGACAATGACATTTCGGACTCGAAAACTATTCGAATTCGATATTGGTCAGTACCCCTAGCACGAACCAATATCGAATTCGAATAGTTTATATATATATAACATAGGCCCAAGAATTTGTTCGGAAGTTTAATACATTAGGGGCCGTTCATAAAAAACGTTCGCATACAAGGGGGGGGGGGGGGGGGGGGGGGGTCTTGCTAAGTGTGACAAGATGTGACAAGGGGGGACGGGGGGTCGACGGCAACGTGACGTTCGTCGTTCAATAAAATTTTTTAAATTAGTATTTCTTTCAACTATTTTTCTTTCTCAATTTTCATCAAGATAGAAAATCATTTATTTCGTGTTTAGTAAACATATAGACATTCAAACGTATATAGTTTTATTATACAATAAATTGTAACTTGGTATATTTACTCATGTTTATTTTTCGACATTAGCGCCTAGCTCTGTGGCGCGGCTCTAGCCTATTGACTTGACTCTAGCAGCGTTACAATTCGTGACAATCGATTTCTTTGTTTTCAAAATTCTTAAAATTTGTGTACTATCAATTGAAATTAATCATACTTGGGGGGGGGGGTCTCCGTTTTTGTGACGGAATATTTCAAGAGGGGTCACAGAAAGTGTGACACAGCGTGACAATAAGGGGGGAGGGGGTCGAAAAAAGCTGATTTTAGCGTGACGTATTTTATGAACGGCCCCTTAACAAAAATATTCACCTGGTTTGGTATTCGTATGCGAATTTTCAACTAACTCAACGCGATTTATATAATTTTCGACATTAAAATCGACGTCGTACTGATCAAATATGTAATCACTAAACATATTTTCCATTTTGTATTTAAATAATAAAAAATACTTTATTTAAAATTTCACGTAATAACTGTGTAACTTTTGAAAAATGCGAGCTTTTGGCGCTTGGTAAATTTTAAATTTGGAACGTTTTTTTCTTTTACTTATTGTTTTTTTATTGTTCCATTTGCGAAAGCAAAGTATTTCAAGTTCGTAAAGCTTACAGTACATACTTATTTTTTCTTCGAGTTTAATGTGGTGCGAAAAATTATTAAGTGTTGTCTAAGGGGTTGTACAGTTTACGTGTACATAATAAAATATTATTTCTAGATTTAAAACCAGTGCAATTAGAAACGTGAACTAATTAACACACATTGGAGACAAGAATAGCCTACAGCTTAACTGTAACTTTGTTTACAATGTATCTCGGAATTTATCTCTTTCTGATCTTTTTCTCCTGCACTCCAACTAATTCACATTAAAGGTGTACAAACTATACACGAGTTATCTATGTAATTACGTGCTCGTGTAAGTAACTTTAGGGTACAATTACGGTGCAATTGTGCATGACAGGATAAAACTTGTGTAAGTGTAAATAAAAATAAATATTTCCAACACTCACACCAATTAGCCTAGCCCCAAAGTAAGCACTGTAAGGCTTGTGTTATGGGATGCTAGGGTAACGGATAGAATACATATACAGTACATATATAAGTATATTTATATAGAAATACATATTAAACATGGACTGGAGTACAAATGCTCGTATTCATCACACAAACATCTGCCTCCACCGGGATTCGAACCCGGGACCTCTCGTGTCGGCGACACCATGAAACCCGGCGTACAAACCACTCGGCCACGGAGGTCATCAAAAGTGATTATACAATATTTGATGATTTGGTGTTAAAATCACATCGTTTGAAAAACTGACTAATTGTTATAATAAAATACCTAGTGTTATACTGAAAGCAGAAAGAGCCCCGAGCATGACGCATGAAATGGACACTATGATTTTCGATCCTTAACTATCACTCGTTTATTTACCTTACATATAAAATCATCATTAGGTCTGAGAATCAGCTACTATCTATTTTTTACACCCCTAAGTGTAAGGGTTGTCCACCCCTCACATTTTTTATTTATATCTTATCTATTAGACAAGTTCGTCCGTCCGTCTGTGGTGCTGTTTCAGCGGATAAACCATAAGAGATAGATAAAGAGAATATTTAAGTTATAAGTTAAGAATAGTCTGATAAGACTACAAACCGGATTTGAGTAACGTAGCACTTCCGGTTTTCGAGAAATCACGAATTTCAAACGAAACCACACAAAATCTCCGAAGTTCTCAATTAATTAAATACATTTCTTTTTAATCAGGTTTTGGTGAACATTTGGTTCACTGGTTTGCTAGTTTTATAAAATGTGGCATTAAAAAAGACATACAACCCTAAATTTTCACCCTTCTACCACCAACCCCTATTTTTATGGCGGTACGAAGTTCGCTGGGTCAGCTAGTCCATTTATAGAAGTCAAAAAACTTACCTGGTTTGAATGGCTCTTTCAGATCCTCAAGCTCGGACTGAAAGTAAAAAAAATATCATTATTTCAAGTATTTGTTTCTTAGGTTTTCACGCACACCATTCATTAAATAAAACAAGTTTCAACGGTATAGATGCACTGATTTACTTATTTATTGACGTATCGCATCCTTTTCGTCAGAATTATGATAAACATTATCATCATAATATCGTCAGAAACGCTCTCGAAACGGAATCGCGAAAGTGCTCTAGCACGTTCTCTAGAACGAATGTGCCAGAGCACCGCGGGTCGCGATAGAGGTCGAGTAATGCGGCTCATTCTAAAATGAGCCTTATGCAGTGCGGCGTAAGGGAGAAAGTGCAACGACATCTGCACTTGTTTACAAGTTATGCGCGTTACCTGCACAGGTATATAAGGAGGTACTTCGTACTGGCGGGTGCTAGCTAATTCTCAATTTAACAGGTACTTTCTAGAATGCGTCGATCGGCGTATATAAGCGCGATTGGCGCCGCGCAGAGACATTTGAGTTTCAACAGCGATTTCGGAGCGAATCCAAAGGCGATCAAAGTGCAACAAAAGTGTTCAAGTGAGATTGTTTAGAGACTTGTATAGTGAAATACAGTGTTTAGTGAGTGTTTTGTAATTAGCATTGTGTGTTAATTGTGTGAACTGTGTGGTGTATAAAAAACTATCAAGCGTGAACTGGCATATTATTTCGAACCCTTGAACTCTTGGATATTGCTTGAGACTGTATTGTATAAGCGAACACGATGAGCTTTAAATGAATTATCGATTTTGTGAAGCCTAGTAGCAGGTAAAGTAATTTTTAATTGCGCATTTCCAAATGTCACTCCAAATCCAAATAGACCGAAATAAAATAAAACTAGCGGCCCGCCCTCGCTTTGCTTCGGTGTAGACTACAGTTTTGTTCTCAAGCTTGTATTATACACAATGACATTCGTCTATCCCTATTTTATCGCCTTGGGGGTAGAATTGATCAAAATCCTTTCTGACCGGATGCCTACGTCATAACATCTACCTGCATGCCAAATTTCCGCCCGATCCGTCCGGTGGTTTGGGCTGTGCGTTGATAGATCACTATGTCAGTCAGTCACCTTTGAGTTTTATATATATACTAGCTGACCCAGCGAACTTCGTACCGCCATAAGAAAAATTTAATTAAAAAGACATTGTCCAGCGGACAAAATTGTGAATCTAAACCATTCTCAGATCCCCTTGAACACACACAAAAAAATTCATCAAAATCGGTCCAGACGTTTAAGAGAAGTTCAGTGACATACACACTCACAGAAGAATTATATATATAAAGATATATATAGATTATTATATGTAAACAAAGTTACGAGAGCGGCGGTAACGCGCTAAGTAGGATGCAACATAAACATTATAAGTCATAACAATATTTAAATCTAAAGAAAAGTTTACTAGAAAAAAATCCACGCGGACCAGGCAGCGGACGGGACGGGGTTTTTTTTCTAGTAAACTTTTCTTTAGATTTAAACATCTAGCAGTTAAATGCTTAAAAAATAAATAAAATCATAATCATAACAATATTAAATAAAACTAGTTTTTACGGGTTAATGCACGAAACTTTATTTATTTATTGACGTTTCGCAGCCTTTTCAGGTCTGCATCGTCAGAATAATGATTTTTTATTTAAAATTGTCGAGCTACCTTCGAAAGACTTATATTGAGCGTTCGGTTATTTCATTGGAAGATTTTTAAAATTTTATTGTCTATGTATGAATTTATTATTTAATTTACTTAATAAAGTATTTTATTTAAAATTCATGTTTGTAATTTTGAGTTTATTTATTTGACCCTAACTACCGTAAACTACCATCCAAAATTGGGAGACCTTCCTGAGAAGAACCGGCGAAACAAACTCAAGAGAGGCTTTCTATCTCCTTCTTATGTTAAATTATGCAAACAAAAAGAACTAATAGTATCTGATGGTCTTGCAGTGTGTGCTCGGGGTTGGGATTTTATCTCCTGTATAATGGGTTCCCAAGCTGGTGGTATATATATACCAACCATCTTCCCTATTGAAATTTGGATATTTTTTAATCTCAATAAATAAATAAAGTTTCGTGCATTAACCCGTAAAAACTAGTTTTATTTAATGAGTGATGTGCGTGAAAACCTAAGAAACAAATATCGTAACAATATGTTACGCTGAAACCGTACTTGCTCCCCGCCAAAGGAGACATCAAAGTTAAATGATACAAGCAGTTACATGCTTTAAAATAATAAAAATTATAACTATAATTGCTATTTCTTCTTTCAAATGTTTAATACTTGTAAAAGTATTCATTTGACATTGTGGGTTTACCTATAATGCGAAGAGATGGCGCTGCCTTGCAGCTTAAGAATAGCTAGAAAGAATTTCGACGCGGTCCGTGAGGGCCGCGGTAGCATAATTGGTCAGTGCATTCGCCCGGATTGCGAAGGGTGCGGGTTCGAGTCCCGTCTGCTGCCTGGTCCGCGTGGAATTTTTTCTAGTTATATTTTCTTTAAATGATATACTTATAAAAAAGAAAGGATTTTTTGAAAAGAAATAAAAAGTACGAATGTAAATGTTATTAGAATTAAATCTTACCTGTGTGACAGCATTGAAAAGCTTGGCTGCGGGTTTTTCCTTCGTCGGTTCGACCTTCTCTTTCTCTTTATCTCCGTCCTTTTCTGCGGGAGGGGGGGAAACGGCTCTCTTCTTCTTCGGCACTGGGGAGGGGAGAGTGGTGTTCTCTTCAGTTTGTTCGTCAATGTATCTGGTGGTAGGAAAAAATAATGTTGTGAATATTCGGTAATAACTCGGCTTAATAGGGATGATGACTATTTTTTTTTCTTCGTTTATCAGGTAGATTATCGAAAAGTATTGGACACGTATTTTTTCTTTTTTTACATAACATAAACATTGCCGAGATATATTGATTTGAAAAGTCGCATGACGTCACGTTTGAGTACACTTAGAAGTGAAAATTCACTCAAAAGTGACGTCACGAGCCCCTACTCCCAAACTTTGACGCGCTATAACTTTGTCATTTTTTGGTTGATTGCCCAAAGAAAAAATACGTGTCCATTATTTTTTGATCATCTAACTGACGGACTAAATAGAATTTCGTTTACTGTACCCCGTCATCACCCCTATTATGGCAAATATGAGTTACGTGGCAATGAATGTCAGTTATTTAAAAGCGGAGCTAAGTATAATTATTATATCCTATTTTTTTTCCGAACAAAACGGAACTACGCAACACTGTGGCATGACCGATGATGTTTTGGATATCCGGCTCGAAGGACCATGTACAAATCCCAAAAATCTTTGAAAAGGTGCAAGGATGATAAACATAATCCACCGTTCAAATTGAAAGGAATAAATGTATTCGAAAAGAAACCTTATTTTCTAAGGCTTATATGAACGGGTAAAAATCTCAACATCGCCATTCAGACATCACACTATGCAAACTGATGGCGCCATCTAGTAACAGTTGACAACAATACTTACACCTTATCTATTATCTTTAAAGAAAGTAAGTAACATGCATTTGGGGTTTATTGGCGTAAACACGGCTCATTTGTATTAAAATATGATTTAAATGTAAACTTTGATTACACGCGCGTACATATTAATAAACTTTAAAAGTTACAATAGGGTATTTGACAGTATTAAAAATAAACTGCCAATTGTTGGCATCTGTATTTAGAATGAATATTGGCAGGGGTTTTTACTATTTTTACAGAAAAAATATTCATAATTTTACTGAAAACCCACGATAAAGATAATAAATAGTTTACTTGTCTATTGTCACGTGAACCAAAACGCTTGGGATTGGTTGAGAATAAAATGACGTCAGACACTTGTAAACATCCGGCTAAATTGACATTAGATATATCGTTTGACGTTTTAATGACAGTCGTGTGACGTCACACACTAGTGAGACGCCATATTGTCCAGAAATACGTTTTCGCGGCAACTTGAAAACAGAGTTTTTGATTTAGTTTTTTTTACCGAAATACACAACAGAATGATGAATATCCACTTTTTACGGACTCCATAAACATTAGACAATAACGTGAGATCGTTTTCTAAAACTTGTCAAATACCCTATTGTTGTCAAAATCACAACGTATGTACGTCACAATCGCAAATGTACGAACACTCTTACATTCTACACTTCGGCGGTGACAAATTTATAATACTATTAATATTTGGATCTTTTTATGTGGCTTTGGACCAATCACTTGAGATTCAAAGCGTATACAGATCCAGAAAAATATAAAAGAAGACTCGAACCAGCACCCTTCGCAATCCGGGCGAATGCACTGACCATTATGCTACCGCGGCCCGAACGGCCGTGTACAATTTTCTCTAACCTTTCTTAGGTTGCAAGGCAGCGCCATCTCTTCGCATTGTAGGTAAGCCACAATGTCAAAAGTACTATACATTTGAAAGAAGATTAAGCGATTATAGTAATTTTTTTATTTTAAATTTAAATACTAGCAATTAAATGCTTAAAATACATCTTAGCTTATATATAAAATTCTCGTGTCACTATGTTAGTTACCATACTCCTCCGAAACGGCCTGACCGATTTTTATGAAATTTTATATGCATATTCCGCGGGTCTGAGAATCGGCTACTATCTATTTTTCATATCCTTAAGTGATAATGGTTGTCCACCTGTAACGTAGTGTTCTGAAACCTACAATGCGCCTTGGCGCCAAAATTCAAACTATTGGGTATTGTAACGTAGTGTTCTCATATGGGTCAGGAGGAATGTTATCCCAGGAAATTGATAGAACACTACGTTACACATCCCTAAAATATTTTTTGGACAATATTTTTTTTTTTATAATGTGGTATTAAAAAATACATACAACCCTAAATTTTCTCTTCCACCACCTGCCCCTATTTTTACCGCGGTACGAAGTTCGCTGGGTCAGCTAGTATATATATAACTAGTGGCCCGCCCTCGCTTCGCTTCGGTATTTTATCCCCTTGGGGGTAGAATTGATCAAAATCCTTTCTTAGAGGATGCTTACGTCATAACATCTACCTGCATGCCAAATTTCAGTCCGATCCGTCCAGTGGTTTGGGCTGTGCGTTGATAGATCACTATGTCAGTCAGTCACCTTTGAGTTTTATATATATATATATATAGATTTCTATTGAATGATCTTATAGAAAAGTTATTAATTATTTTTTCTTTCAGAATAGTATAATCACTGCTTATATTCATATTAAACACAGCTGCCAACAATTGGGACATTATTTTTCATACTGTCAAATAGCCTATTGGAACACATAATTTATTTTTGTGCGATGTTTGAATCTAAAGATTCTTTTTTAATCTTCTAAATCTAGCAGTTCAATGCTTACAATTAAAAATATAACTATTAATTGCTGTCTTCTTTCAAATGTTTAATACTTGTAAAGGTATTCATTTGACATTGTCGATTACCTACAATGCGAAGAGATGGCGCTGCCTTGCAGCCTAAGAAATATTAGAGAAAATTCGACACATCCATTAGGGCCGCGGTAGTATAATGGTCAGTGCATCCGCCCGGATAGCGGAGGGTGCGGGTTCGAGTCCCGATTTTTTTCAAGTAAATTTTTTTTTAGAATTAAACTGTCTTTTCTTGTTTTATATATATTTTTTATATTATATTATATTTCGAACACACACCAATTAGCCTAGCCCCAAAGTAAGCACTGTAAGGCTTGTGTTAAGAGATGCTAGGGTAACGGATAGAATACATATACTGTACATATATAAGTATATTCATATAGAAATATATATTAAACATCCATGACTGGAGTACAAATGCTCGTATTCATCATACAAACATCTGCCCCCACCGGGATTCGAACCCGGGACCTCTCGAGATGGCGACACCAAGAAACCTGGCGTACAAACCACTCGGCCACGGAGGTCGTCAATATATAAGATAGCTAATCTAATGAATATATTTATAATTTTTATTATTTTAAAGCATGTAACTGCTTGATGTTTAAATCTAAAGAAAATATAACTAGAAAAAATTCCACGCGGACCAGGCAGCAGATGGGACTCGAACCCGCACCCTTCGCAATCCGGACGAATGCACTGACCAATTATGCTACCGCGGCCCTCACGGACCGCGTCGAAATTCTTCTAGCCATTCTTAAGCTGCAAGGCAGCGCCATCTCTTCGCATTGTGGGTTACCTATATTTCGACTCGGTCCGTGAGGGCCGTGGTAGCATAATTGGTCAGTGCATTCGTCCGGATTGCGAAGGGTGCGGGTTCGAGTCCCGTCTGCTGCCTGGTCCGCGTGGAATTTTTTCTAGTTATATTTTCTAATGAATATATATTAAGATGACGAAACTCTCACCTCTTGGGTCGTATCTTCCGACCGCTTCTGCTGACGATCTCCTCTTCCTTCTTGGCCTCTTCTTCCTCTTTGGCTTCTTCCTTCTTGGCTTTCCCTCTGGGTGTCTTAGGTTCTTTAGCCTTAACCGCTTCCTTGGCTGGAGTTTTGATCGCGTCAGCTTTGGATTTTCCTCCCTTCTGTGTTGACAAGGAAAAGTCTAGGCTTGATACATTTAAAACATTCCCACAGAAAGTATAGCCGCGCAAAGTTACCGGAAACTGTCAAACTATTTCGTTAGGTATATTGTGAATAAAAAATTAAAAAAAAAACGAGTGTGCTTATGGTCACACGACTGAAGTGAAACTTCTTTAGCTCCATCTGTGTGTATGTATATATATATATATATATATATATACCGTGTTCCTGAGGTAATACACTAACTTTGACAGACTATTAAATTGATCATTTTTTACTAGGGACACTTTTATGAATTCCAATGTTTTTATCATTTATTATTTTCATATAAACTAAATGCTTAGATGTAATTTATCTAATATGAATTACTCTTTACCTGAGATGGCAACGTCACATTTGAAACCTTGGTTCACATGTCCACATAAACTTTTTGAAACTTTTCTTGACGTCAACAATGTTTTTTAATGTTTTGACTTTTGAAACTATGACTTAATGACAATTGACATAGAGTTGATAGTTTGATATTTTTGGTTGCACAAAGTGGCAACATCTCACAGATAAAGACTCATTCTCACTGAACAACACAATTAAGTTAGTTAAACTTAAATTACCAATAACTTAAAAACTATGCTATTTATACTACTACTTTCTTTGTACGATATGTTCAACAAGAACTATAGAAGTATTATTCAAAGTTTATGTTTATCCTCAGGAACACGGTGTATATATACATATACAGGGTTAATTTAAAACACCAACAACCTCTTAGGGGGTGATTCTACCCATCAACAGGTACAACTTTTATTATGGGACCAACGCTGAAATCGCGAAAAAAAGATCTGCTGTTTCATACAAAAGTGCATCAGTTAATCTACTGAAATGTATGAAACAGCTGTTTTTTCGCGATTACAGCGTTGGTCCCATAATAAAAGTTGTTCCTGTTGATGGGTAGAATCACCCCCTAAGAAGTTGTTGATGTTTTAAAATTAACCCTGTATATATTTCACACATACATACTTGAACGTCGCAAACAAAAGGGTATTTATCTTCGAAATCAGTGTTTTGAGATATCGCGTTTTGAAGTTTTTAAAAATCATAGAAGCGGAACTACTTGTTTAAATGTTTAAAATGATACCTTGATTTAAACGTACATTATGCTTCTTTGTGTTGAGTAATTTTAGTTAATGTATCAATAGTAGTCTTTATTTTAAAAGTACTTTTATGTGACTGGGTAAAGGAGTCTATAAGCAGTTCAAATGGCTCATGTTAAAATTACAATTAGTATCATTTTAAAATAATTTCGCTGAAAATAACATATTAAATAAAATTGAACAGGACAGAGGGTATTATTTTAAATAAAACTTCAAACTTGTATCAATCCGAACGGGCAATAGGGCAATAACTTAATACTGTTTAGAATTCTCACAATCATAAATTTTGCCTAGATATTGACGACATGTGTTGCTATAATTCAAAAACCATTTCGAATTAAAATACAATTATCTTACCAGTTTATAGAAAAAAAAGATTAGTTTTCGAAAAGCAAATAAAAAAATAAATGGTTTTGCCGACTTAATAGCCTATTGTTTGTGACGTGCGATGTATGTACATACAAATATTTCATTAACTAGCTATAAGAGAAAGAGAGAAAGAAAATGTGCGCGCGCGCTGCTTTCTCTTGCTTATATCTCCCACTCAACTCCCGTTCGCCTCGCTCGAACACACTTTTCGTAACGCGTAACGCATTCGCCTTCTTACCCCCCAAGCCAAGGGTGCTTTAAGAAGTTCCACTTCAGAAAGCAAAATAGACCTGTTGATTTTTGACAGTTTTGTGTAACTTGATTAGTGTATGTATTTATCTAACAGCTGTACTCAGAAACTTCACTGTGTCACTTATTTGACATTAACTTAAGTCAAACGTAAAAAAATATTGACGTCTCTGAGTACAGCTGAAAGACAACAATTGATTGCTAAGTTTGATTAAAGGTAATATATATTCATTTTCTTTGCAATATCAAAGGAAATAAAATAAAAAACCATATTATACCGATATAATTGTTTTTTTTTTATTTTAGAATCCAGCCTAACTGCCCAAAATAACTTATCAAAATCGATTTTTAAACTGTTTTCGGAATGGTAGGCTGAATTCTAAATATCGGTATAATATTGATTTTTAATTATGATATACTACAATAATAAAATATTTTATCGACAATTCTAACGACAAATTTAATATTGCTAATCTATCAATAAAATAGTATCGACAATTCTACGGATACTCTCGATATTGCTTAACTACACACATCAAAAGTGTCTAGGGATCAACATATATTTTTGCAATAACTTTTCTCCTGATTGATATTAATTAAAATTTTCTTTAAGGATTCATCAAATAAAGTGTTTTCGTTTGTCACAGTAACGATAAACCAAGTCACCTTTGCATTAATAAAGAAATTTGCCATTTTCCTAATAAAGGGATTTTTGACATTTGAACCACTAACACAAAAGTTCGAAAAAAAGACTGAAATAACAGTTTTCTCTAAAATTTTATTGGGTAACTTAAACAATTAATAATCCGTATTTCTACCGCGAACACTAACAACACAAGAACATCGGTTTGGCATACTCAAAATGAGTTCATCCAAATCACGCTGTGGAATGGCCGCCCATGTTCGTTGCAACAACAAAAAAAGGTCTTCTTGCGACTGGATACCCTCCATATTCGGCAGAGCTCTTCTCTGTAGCATATCCCATGCATGCTCAATCGGGTTCAAGTCTGGCGACTGAGCAGGCCAGGGCAGGACATTGATGTTAGCTGCGGCGAGAGTCTGTCTTACAACTCTTGCGGTGTGCGGTCGTGCATTATCATGCATTAACTGAAATAAGGGACCGATTTGCACTTGTAGAGGAACGATGACGTCTGATACAATCGTCTCAGCATAAATTTGAGCGTTGAGGTTGCCTCTGATCCAAATCAACTCAGTTCTTCCGCCGATCCAAATACCCGCCCATACCATGATGGTTCCACCACTATAAGGATGGACTTCCTGGCAGGATTTTAATCGCTGTTGGCGTCCAGGGGTTCTCCAGTGTCGTATACGTCTTGTATCCGGTCTCATACCAAAACGAGACTCATCAGAAAAGCACACGAAACGCCATTGTTCTTCTGCCCAATTTCTGTGTTCAAGAGCCCATTGATATCGAATCCTACGATTGTGCATTGCTATAGGTGGTACCCGTAGCGGTCTTCGGGAATGAAGGTTCACTTCATGCAAGCGGTTTCTGACTGTTTGGTCGCTAATTAAGTTCCCTGAAGAGTGATGAAGCCTCACGGCTAACATCATGGCGGTTATTGTTGGAGCTCTTCGAGTTAAGATTTGAATGTATCGGTCTTGTCTCCGTGTGGTGCAGCGATACCGTCCTCCATGGCGCTCAGCCACGGTACCAGTGCTTCGGTATCGTGTCCAAAGTCGACTGATAACACTCTGACTTGTATTCAGAGCTAAAGCCACAGTACGTTGCCGGGAACCAGCTTCTATCATTCCCACGGCTCTGAGCATTTCTTCCCTGCTTAAATGACGTCGCCGCTCCATAATAACGTTGGTTTTAATCAGTAGTAGGGAAACAGTAGCACTAATAATGTCTTCAATGCGTTGTATGTTTTTATAGGGAAAATATTGACAGCTGATTTTCATCTTTTACTCGAATTTGATTCACAGTTCCTGATTCAAATTATGAAATGCACCAAAAAGGATCCATATAAATTTATAAAATCATAAATTTATTACAAAGCCACATCTCAATCTCAAGAAATCCGCATAAAAATGCTTGATCCCTAGACACTTTTGATGTGGGTATTATCAACGAAGTTAAAGTAACAATAATTCAATTTAACGTAAGTATAATCAGCCACACAAGAAGTTATCACAAAATGAGAAAGTTATCAATAGATTGTGAATATTAATTTAAATATAATATAAAGCTGAAAATCAGTTGAAAATCTTGCCAATTTTGTGTAACTTGACCTGCGGCTGTTTTTGGTTACAATAAAACTGATGGTATGGCTCATTTTATCGATAATCACCACTCCAACTATCGATAGTTGCGCAACTCTCCTATCCACTGTAACTTTATTTTATCGACACTTATCTATCGACAATTTCCACTAGAACTATCGATAGTTGCGCAACACTATCTACCACTGTAACTTTGTTTCGTCGATACTCACAAATCGATACTTTTACACATACCTGCAGAATTGCTTATCTATCCAAAAACAATAGCACCGACAATTTTATCGGTTATTTCCAAATCAACCATCGATAGTTGCGCAACTCTAGTGTCCACTGTAAAATTGTCGATAGACCTAGATTTAATGATGCTTTTATTTTTTAAGCATTTAACTGCTAGACGTCTAAATCTAAAGAAAAGTTTAAAAAGGGCCGCGGTAGCATAATGGTCAGTGCATTCGCCCGGATAGCGAAGGGTGCGGGTTCGAGTCCCGTTTGCTGTCTGGTCCGCGTGGATTTTTTTCTAGTAAACTTTTCTTTGGATTTAAGTACTTAAAATATCGATAGTTTCTCTCTCCAACTATCGATAGTTACCCAACACTACTGTCCACATGAACATTGTTTCTTCAACTTTTCTCGATACTCACATCGTCATTTTGACTCCCATTGCGTCCATTGGTTAATTCAACGATCAGCTCATCGATAGACGAGTCGAAGCGGCTTGTAGCACTCTTGGCACCCTGCGATATGCCACAACCAGTGTCCGACTGAGGTTCGACTTCGATAAACTCGAATTTTTATCACGAAAACACCTTCGGCTTTGGCCAAAACGGGCCGAGGGATTGGCCGAAACCGTAGGTCTTTAAGGAGCGCCGACTTTTCAATGAATTTGGTCGAGAAAACGAGTATGATTTTCGCATCAATCAAAATAAGGAAAGGCTGATTTATCAACGAATTTTATATTTACTCGAGTTCGATAAACTCGATTTTTTGAATGAATATTAACCAAATATACTTAAAAATTATGAAGACGCAAATGATTTAATGATAGAATTTAAACACTGTTTAATTTGTATTGAAACGAAAACAATAAAATCAGTACCCTTAGGCCGTATATAGAAAGAAAGCCGAAAGCCGATCGGCGCCGATCAGCGCCGATCGGCGCTTATCGGCGCCGACACGCGCTGATCCGAATAATAAATAATTTGTATTTGAATTATTATCCTTAGATTAAATTAATCTAAGTTATAATCTTTTTATAAATCTAATAACTTTATCTTTTATTAACTAAGCGCTAAAATTATTTCTTTCGTACTCACCGAATGGTGACAACAAGTCTTTCTTCTGGAAGGATTGGTTGTTTATGCCAATTGCCCCAATTTTTCATCAAACGGTTTTTCACTAAATCCAAAATGTAATAAAATGTTTCTTGAATCATTCTTGTATATGTTTTTATACATTTTTTCCGACTATTATCTTTGTTCATCAAATTTAATTTTTTTTACAAATAAATGATGGTATTCTCCGAAACGTTTCCTTCCTCTATTTATAGGATGTATAGCTGTTTTTCGCATTTTTAAATAAACATTTTCTAAGAAAACCAAATCATCGTCCGATGAGTCCGACATTTTGCTTGATCTGCTTTAATCGGCTTCCTTTATGTAGGAAGGATCGGCGCCGATAAGCGCCGATCGACTTTCGGCTTTCTTGCTGTATACGGCCTTAGTACGAGTGCGAGCTCACGAAAACTATCATAGTTTTCGTAAATGTAAAACTCGTACTTAAGGTACTGATCATAAATTTAGTTTCAAGCTCAGAGAATTATGCATGAATTGACAGGAATACCCAAAATCCTAGATTCAAAATACAATATCGTTTATTCAGTCTAGGCTGTTACAAGCACTTGTGAATGTCGAAAAGCTACGCCATCGGTTCGCAAAACTACGGCGGGAGACCTTGTACTGAGAAGAACCGGCAAGAAACTCAGCAAGGGCTGTTTTTTCTCCCTGTATTATATACAGAGTCGTCAAATTGAAAAATGACTTCAATATGAGATCACTCATGAAGTCGCTTTCCAAAAATCAAGTCTTTAAATCAAATTAAAACATCAACTATAGCTTGTAGCCAATGTTGAACTCAAACCACCTTATTAATAAGCAAAGACTACGCTTGGATTAGTTACTCTATGGTTACTTTATTGTTCAGTGAAACCTGGTTAAGTGGGACCTAGATAAGTGAGAAACCTCTATTATTGAGAGTTGCAATGAGGTTCCGGTACTATTTCATTAAATTACCTCTGTTAATGCTTAGATTAAAACAAAAATGGTAGATACGGCACTAGCCTCACAAAAGTGATCCGCACAAATTGTGGTCCACGACCCTAATCGCTTTAGTCACAACTTGACATGCAAACGACGGACATGTGAACGCCAAAAAGAAATATTGCTAATATTATGCGTTTATATGATAAAACAATGCCTAAGTATGTTTTTAAAAAGTGCTCAAATTGCTCAAGAACTAAAAATAAAACCCACGGCATCACTTTTCATTCGTGAGTACTATAAAATATATTTTTTCATAAAAATTGCTGTTTGTTTTGAATCTTATTCGGTAGTGATGTCGAGTACTGGTCGCGTGATTGGTCGGTAATGCAGTGACGCGGATCTCGCCGTCCCGTTCGCGCTGCCGTGGGATCAGTTTTTGTTTGATGCAAGTATGAGCGTACCGTATCTACCCTTTTTGTTTTAATCTAAGTGTTAATGTGACTTTTTGAACCTAGTTAAATGAGATTTGAATTCTAAGACTCTTTCGATGTAACACGTTTTGACATGTTTGTTTACATACATTTCGCGTCGTCGCGTCGGGGGGCCTCTGTAAATGAGACAACTATAATTTTAAACCTGTTTAATTGAAAAACTGGATTATTGGATACCCTCAATAATCTTGGTCCCTTGAGATCCCAATTAACCAGGTTTCACTGTATAACAAAATGGCATTTGAGCGATTGAACAAAACATGGTGTAACTAGTCTTGGCTTATTCCTCGCTTACTAAAAGGGGGGTATATGTTTTGGCTTAAATATTTAGGGTGAAATAATCTTTCGGGCTAGAAGGAAGCTTAGTCCGAATTTTCGGTCTCAGCCCGAATTTTCGGCCTCAGCCCGAATTCGAGCTACGGTCGTTTTGTTTATTGAATAACAAATGGCACTTGAGTCATTGAACAAAATATGGTGTAACTAGTCTTAGCTTATTCCTCGCTTATTAAAAGGGGAGTAAATGTTTTGGCTTAAATATTTAGGGTGAAATAATCTTTCGGCGTAGAAAAAAGTTTAGGCCGAATTTTCGGTCTCAGCCCGAATTTTCGGCCTCAGCCCGAAATCGAGCTTCGTTCGGACACCGGCCGCGACTCGGACCGTAAGATATTGGAAGATGGTTCGGCCCATTATCTGACTGTTTATTTATCAAATTGTTTATATTGATATGATATAACAATACCTTTCCTTCGTCAATAACAAGCGGTCCTGCTTCATCGGAGTCTTCTATAGCGTTTTCGTTCTGTGTGGTGTTGGCAGCGATCTAAGATAAAAATTTTGGATTGACTTATAGTTGAAAGAAAACTTTACTAGAATAAATTCCACTCGGACCAGGCAGCAGACGGGACTCGAACCCGCACCCTTCGTAATCCGAGCGGATGAACTGACCATTATGCTACCGCGGCCCTGATGGCCGTGTCGAATTTTCTCTAATTATCTTTTTCTAAATTATCTTTATGGTTACTATTATAGAGGGTTATGTTTGTCCTTTCGGACAAATTATTACTGCATCTTGAAGTAATATTTTTGGCTGAGGACAAAATTGTTAATGTATGGATTCTCATTTTAAACACAATATACTTATAATGCGTTTAGTGAAAATGATATTTTCGAATCCAACATGCTTGCTATAAAATATATAGCCATATTGCCATAAAGAGCCAGTACCCCATAGTACGTACCAATATCGAATTCGTATCGTTTGCGAGTACAAAATGTCACTGTCAAATGACGACCTCCGTGGCCGAGTGGTTTGTACGCCGGGTTTCATGGTGTCGCCGACTCGAGAGGTCTCCCGGGTTCGAATCCCGGTGGGGGCAGATGTTTGTATATGTAATATGTATTTCTATACATATAAATATACTTATATATGTACAGTATGTGTATTCTATCCGTTACCCTAGCATCCCATAACACAAGCCTTATAGTGCTTACTTTGGGGCTAGGCTAATTGGTGTGTTAAAAAAAAAATAACAATTCGGCTTTTTCAAATGACACAATGCCTATAAAGGTAAAGTAAATGTGCGTGTTACAGAAATGGCGCTTTGATCTGTACCCCTAGCACGAACCAATAACGAATTCGTATCGTTTGCGAGTCCGAAATGTCATTGACAAATCTGTACTGATTTTTAGTTCTCGTTACGTACTTTGTGCCCCTGCTGTTCAAGTAAAGGATCGTTGAAGTACAGCAACTTTCCCGGTGGTCGGTCATTGGATGGGTGACCTAAAATCTTCTATCTCTCACTCCTCCATGCTTCGGAGAGAGGGGACATTAATAGGCTGATGTTGATTTAAACTTACCTCATCAACAGTCTCATCGGCCGCTGTGGTGTCAGCCATTGTATCGTCCATGGTTGAGTTCCCTGTGTCGTTGGCCGAGTCATTTGCTTCAGCTGGTGGCTATGAAAGAGAATACAATATTAATAGATTATATTATGTAATAATTAGAGATCGGATAATTCGATGCATATTTACATCAATTACATAATAATAGGGGTGATGACGGGGTACAGTAAACGAAATTCTATTTAGTCCGTCAGTTAGATGATCAAAAAATAATGGACTCGTATTTTTTCTTTGGGCAATCAACCAAAAAATGACAAAGTTACAGCGCGTCAAAGTTTGGGAGTAGGGGCTCGTGACGTCACTTTTAAGTGAAAATTGTACCAAAACGTGACGTCATGCGTGCGTGACTGCAATGTTTATATTATGTGAAAAAAGAAAAAATATGTGTCCAATACTTTTTGTTAATCTACCTGATTAACAAAGAAAAATAAATTAGTCATCATCCCTGCATATTTACATCGATTATCTTATGTAATAATTAGAGATCGGATAATTGGATGCATATTTAGGTTGGCTGTTATGGAAAGCACTTTTTTATCAAGAAATTCCGGTGATTGCAGGTATTTCAAATTTAAGTGTTGTTAGGTAGAAAGAAAAGAAAGATTTTAAATTGAAAGGTTAATGATAATGAGATGGTTAAGCCAAGACGCTGGAGGTGATGGCAGGCTGGTGGTTGCCGAACTTGGTTAAATTATTATATCTTTGCCAGATATCAAAATAGAAATAGAAAAATTGTGTTGAACAAAAGGTACTATTTCTCACATGTAAAAAATAGAATAGTCACGACAAAAGATCCCAGACAGCCGACAGAAACGAGACATATCTCAGTTGTTTAGTAATTTTTTAATAGTCGCATTATATATTTTTTATATTTAAAACTAATGGCTAATTGTAAAATATTGCTTTGTGTTTTTGTTTAGGTTTTACACAAAAGAAATAAAAAAAGGCCAATTTGTTTTCTACAAAATACATAAATATATATGTAATACATTTACGAACCCCCTAACTTCTATTCGTTATTTAGTTACATTCATTTAGGATGGGCGGATGCACTGACTATTATGCTACCGCGACCCTAATAGCAGCGTCGAATTTCCTCTAGTATTTCTTCCCTAAGAAATACTTGCAGCCTTGCAAGGCAGAACTATCACTTCACATTGCATTGTAGGTAACCCACAAGTCAAATGAATACCTTTACAAGTATTAAACATTTGAAAGAAGAAATAGCAATTATAGCTAAATTTTTCTTTTTGTACTATTCTACTGTTTAAATCTATAGAAATTTTACTAGAAAAAATGAATACTTATAAAAGTATTCATTTGACATAGTGGGTTATCTACAATGCAATGTGAAGAGATAGCGTTGCCTTGCAGCCTAAGAAATACTAGAGAAAATTCGACACGGACCATTAGGGCCGCGGTAACATAATGGTCAGTGCATTCGCCCGGATAGGTTCGAGTCCTGTCTGCTACCTGGTCCACATGAAATTTTTTCTAGTAAAATTTTCTTTACGATAAGTTCAACTCAATACAGTAACATGGTAGAAGAGCTGGAGTGACATAACCTTTCTTTTCATATAAAGTAAGTCCAGAATGAGAAAAAATTTTAGAAGATAATAAATAAACAATTTTCTTTCTTTCTACTTACCTCAGCGATAGCACCAATGACTTGCTCCAAAGGCACATTGTTGGCAAAGTCGTGTTCTATCTGTTTCACACCATCATTGAAGTCTCTGCGTTTCACAGTTTTTGTTAGGAACTTGTCTTTGTTCTCTGCATAGTCAAATATCATGTTCGGTGGGAGGTTGGCACTGAAATAATAAAAAAGTTTTTATTTTTTTTTATGTTAAAAGGATAGCAATTAATCGTATGGTCTGCCTGTGGGTAAGCAGCTACCATAGCTTGTAAATCAGTAAATTCTTCAATTTTTTTTATCACCGGTATTGTAACAATGTCGCGTAGTCGCGACCATTCTCTTTGCTTATTGCTTCATATTGGACCTTCTTGGCCAACACTAATTTAAATTCCATTTTAGGATTTTTATTTAGTTGAAATTCAATTCCGTCAATGCTCTCAGAAATAATTTCATTGGTAGTCCAGCAGAAATCTCGTAACAGAAACATAAATTCTCTCAATATTAGTTTGGCTCCATTTGAAATGTGATAAAACAGTAAATAATGAAATTAGATACCACGTACAAACCAATATTAGGGTAAGTGAAGTTGTATTTTGTAAATTACCATTTATCTATTAGACTACTGGCATGTTTTTAACACAACATTGCTTGAATATTGACTAAGATAACCAAACTTTCTAACAACTACTTTTAGAATTTGCATTTTGACGAAAAAACGTACCCAATCGGTATGGGTGTGTGCATCTTTTGTTACCCGCATGTACAAATGTAATTCAATTATCTCACTGCTCAATGTTGACTATTTCCCAACATACCAACTTACTTTTATATAATATTGTAATTTAGTCAAACTTTTTTACTAGAATAAGTAAAACTTCTATTTATTGTAACTAAATGTACAGTGATGATTGTAGTTCACGAATAAACCTTTCTGGTTTTTGTTTGCACTATATGTAATAAAATAATTGTAGTAGCACTTGTTTAAATAAATAATAAAAAAAATAAAGAAAATAAAAAATCGATGAATATCAGATTCATATATTTAACAGTAATAAATTAGTAATAAATATAGTAGTAATAAATTAGATGAATACTTACGTCTCACCAGTGCCATAAAAATATACAAAGTATTTTTTCCCATTCATCTTTTGAACCTGAAATGAAAATGATAATGAAACATAATTAAAGTTCAATAGCCTTTCAGCCAAACCCTCTCAATAGTCAGCCTAAAAGAATTATAAAGCTTTGAATAGCTTGCATACACATTGTATTGGGGATATTTCTATTGAAATGTTATTTTCATAATTGGCATAACTAGCTGACGGCGAATGATAGACGTGTTGGCAAAAAGATGTTAGTTCGAACTTTGAAGCAAATGTAAATGTATGCAAGTGTAATGTTCTAATCAAAGACTGGTATCAAGAACTATTAGACTCTTATTCGTGACCAGTCTAACTAGTATTTGCGGTTGTAACTACGTTAAATACATTAATGAATATGGTAAACGCAAGCTTGTTAGGCAATATGTCTTCCCGCGCTGCGTTTGTTAGTATTCAGAATCACAATTTCACATGAATGCAGTGATTATTTATGGTGTTAAGTACTCACCCTGGCTGGCCATGCTGGATACCCTTTAACTTTGGCGAAAATAAAGTCGCCCGACTTGTATTCTCTCACTTTTTTGCCCATTATCAAAGAACGCCGCAAACCGAAATGTAAATTGTTCAAACACTACCAACGCAACGGGCTTTTTCCACTGCAACCAGAAATGACCGTACACTAATATTAGAAACTTCGGTATCCAGATTTCAAAGAAGTTTAAACAAACAACTCTTTTTAATTGAAGAGACGCTAAGATAAGAAAAATAACCTAAAACTCTTACCGCGGCAAAGGGAATGACGGAAAGGAAATAAAGATGGCGTGGTTTGGTGTTGCCGTAATTAAATTAACCCTTCCATAGTTCTACCCAAGCTGTTCTAGTACCGGTTTCTAGACTAAGCCGATTCGAATACTACTAACTACATCACTAGTGTCAAAAATTAGTGGAATGGTGTCAAATTTTTAAAAATGGCAACCCAGTGACTATGAGCGGTCGTGTCAGTTGGGTGCTTCGGGCGAGCGTTTTCTCGTAAACTAATTGATTTCTTCTAATTAAATTAAAGTGAACCGTTGTGTTAGCTATGCAAGTGTGATGTGAGCCATGAAAATTATCATTGTGCATTCATTGAATCGAAAGACTTGAAAATAGGGGGTGTTACAGGAAAACAAAAATGGCTTCGGGAGACACTGATCATATTGAAGTGATGGATAGCACTGTTACCAAAAGGACTGAAAGCGCAACAGGGCCTTCTAGTTCCGAAGACGATGGTAGTGCATAACTAAATCTAATAATACGGCATCGATTATACAACATTCCTGTGGCATAATCGCATTTTTCGGTCCAAGTTCAGTGCATTCAATTTTGGGTGTCCTATTTAGTGCTGGTTTTCTCTTTACAGATCGTGACAGAACTTCAATCGCCGAAAAAAATGCACCGTACGACGTGAGTAATCAGAATCTATGTGTAATTGTGTACAATACACTTTTCATTCATTGTTTTCTATGTTACTTTGGTAGTGGGAGAAAGTGTGAATTGCGGCTTTACATAATTAAAATATGTAAGTTTCGTTCACTGACGCTGTGAAACGGCTAGATAACGCTTGAGGCTGACCACAAATAGTTATAAGCATATTTGGTAATTAAACATACTGACTTGGTTTACAACTTGGAATAATATTAACCTTTTTTATCATCATCAGCCTATTAATGTCCCCACTGCTGGGGTCAGGCCTTTTCTATGGATAGAATAGGGAGACTGGGCCATGACCCACCACAAGCCTCGTGGCATGACTGTCCAGTGCGGAGTGGTGGGTGTTTATTGCTTTACCTATTTTATACTGGGTAGTTATTGGTACTCACTTTTCTTCTTATAACTTCTACAAGTCTGGAAGTTTATCCTCTGATGCCTGCATCATCTCCCCTGGGTCAGAAATCTGTCTATGATACCCAACAGCCAGCTGTAAGGTTGTGTCAAATTCTTACTAAACTAAAAACTCGCATCATTTTGACTGCTGGCCTCATTAACATCTGAAAGAAAAACTTAAGCAACTTTTTAAGCACACTTAGCTCATACAAGCATGTGCTATTTTGGTAAATAAGATTCTATGTAGAAGGTGTGTAGAAATCAAATATGATTGTATAATAATGCATTATAAATACATTGAATTGATAAAATAAACAAATATTACACAACTAACATGTATTTGACACACACACAAAGACTATTTGTATTAAGAATATTTTTAAATAGGTACTTACAATATATTGTTTTAAACTTTCATGGTCACTAACATTATAGTAATATAAGTTATTTATGGGATTGTTACCATGTACCTTGTTTTTCGCGAGTTTCCGATATTTCGGCACTGTTGCAAGCGCCATGATCATGGAGTAACTCGCGAAAAACAAGGTACATCGTAACAATCCCGTAAATAACTTATATTACTATAAGGTACTTACAAACCTAACTGTTTGAAAGAATTCACAATGATAATAGAAGAGTTTACTAAGAAGTAAAACCATTAGACTCTTTTTAGGTCATTTGCATAAAAAGGTTGACTTTTGACCACTAGGCAATTACTTGGCTTATTCTTATAATATACAAATAAACACACAGTGGTGTCAATTCTGGCGTGATTCTCTAAATCTAAATTAAATTTGTCAATAGTGAATCCTTTTCATTCTCTATACGTAATGAAGAGGAGAGACTGATGTTAAATTTAGTATTCCCTTTCGGGAATCAAGCCAGAATCGACACCATTAATTAATTAACTTAAAACTATGTCGAATAACCTAATTAATCTTAATTCCATGACTTAATGTCAAACCTTAAATAAGGAGCTAGCGAACAAAACAGTATAGGTAATTACGCATATGATCAAAATTCGTTTTTTGAAAGTCCGGAGGTTTTGTGCTTACTGAATTTGAAATTTATAAATTAACAATCATGCCAAAAGCTCACTGTAGGTATGTCATTCAGTTTTTACTGCTCCAGTAAAATTTAATTTTATGTAATTATATCATTATGTTCACCAACCCCTCAAATAATAAATAAATCAAACTACAGTAACAAAATAAATATACTTTTACAAATGGCCACTTGCGTTTTGGTTGTCTTCATTATTTTTTAATAACGGGACACAAGTCTCACCAAAATGTATGAATGAACAATGTTGTCAATTCTGGCATGATTCTCTAAACTTAAAACTAAATTTAACATCAGTCTCTCCCTTTCATTCTATGTAGAGAATGACAAGGATACACTGTTGTTAAATTAAGGTTTAGGTTTAGAGAACCATGCCAGAATCGACACCAATGTTTACTATCAGTGTATTAAAATACGAATGAATTTCTGTGACTTCTTCTTTTTGTAAAGCAACTTTTTGTTTTCACACAAACTTTGGTGCTATATTTCAGACCTTGTACTTTTATCAACCCTAACTTGTACTGCTGCTTTCATCAACTGACGACCTTGGTGGCCGAGTGGTTTGTACACCAGGTTTCATGGTGTCGCAAAGTCGAGAGGTTCCTGGTTCGAATTCCGGTGGGGGCAGATGTTTGTGTGATGAATACGAGCATTTGTACTCCAGTCACGGATGTTTAATATGTATTTCTATATAAATATACTTATACATGTACAGTATATGTATTCTGTCTGTTACCCTAGTATCCCATAACACAAGCCTTACAGTGCTTACTTTGGGGCTAGGCTTATTGTTGTGACTTTGGAAATATGGAGCGAGTTTACAAACTCGCTGGCTTGTAGTTTGTAACTCGCCTCGTGTCATCGAGTCTATGCCGTCACCGGGTTTGGGGACGGCGAGACCTGAAAGGGACCTCAAGCCGAGAATTGGCGAGTATTCCAGGTGGAAAAGTAAAAAAAATGTACACATTATTTTTAAGTTACAAAAGTGTGACTTTGGTAACAGAAAATGATGAAAAAATAATGTTATACTCATCATCATCATTAACAGCCTATCTTAGTCCACTGCTGCACATAGGCACGGTAATATTATCTATACAGTATTGTGACTCCGCCCTGTCCTTGAAAATAAATGCCTACACCGAACGCTGCGTTGGCACGCGGTAGGGCCGCCAGCCTACAGTATTTTATGTAGTTTTGTTTTTAACGCGAGTATAGGTAGATTACTCGTTTGTCTCTTTTTTCATCCTAACCACTTATTTATATATTATTCCAGATATTATGCCCGATGGAAAAACCGAAATACCTAAATATTAAAAACAAATAACGTACTAAGACACCTTTCCAATATTTCAGATAATTTAAAAAATGATATCTCTGGGTGTGTTATTGAAGAGTTCAAGCAACCAAAAACAGCAATTGTGCTGTTGTACGATATTGATCGTCGTTTGTTCTTTTCCATACTGAATTATGTAGGTATCTACTTAATTAAATCAAATATTTACAATACAAAACGCTTGTTTAAGCACGGCTAACTGCATAAAAAACAATTCAGACCGTTCGGTCGTCGTTGCGGCGCGGCGGCGCATTCGCGACTGGGTGCACGCCGAGAGCACATCGAACTCGAGTGGCGTAGGTATGACTCGCTTTCCGACCGTTTGTATGAAGATAGAATACTGTATGATATTATTACCGTGACATAGGCTTCTCCAAATGCACGCCACTCAGATCGATCTTGGGCTACTCGCATCCAGCTCCTGCCAGCCACCTTGCGCAAATCGTCACTCCATCGCGCCTGAATGTTATAATATGTAAGCATTTTAATAGATCATTTGATCATAAATATATAGTACTAGTGGCCCGCCCTCGCTTCGCTTCGGTGTAGAGCTGTAGTGTAGACTAAAACGCTGGCTTGAAGCTTGTAACTCGCCTCGTGTCATCGAGTCTACGCTGTCACCGGGTTTGGGGACGGCGAGACCTCAAAGGGACCTCAAGCCGAGTATTAGCGAGTATTCCAGGCGGATGGCATCTCTCCTCTCCGTCCGGAGCCTCTCCGGGTGAGGCCAAACGAGCGTAATTTTGTGAGTGGTGAGTCGCAGAATTTCGGTCGCAGAAATTCTGCTGCATTCGGTTTCATACAAATGGGCAGTTTGTGCCACACGACAACGCAAAATGAGTTGTCTGCCGACTCAATGCGCATAAGCTCGTCCGAATTTCGGTCGGGGTGAGGGTAGGGCAAGGAAGGGGAGTGGGGAAGCAACAGTTTGTTACAAGTTTTACGTGGTGTAATAATTCTTGAAAAACACGTAATGGCATATGATAGTACTTTTCAAAAATATCTGGATTTGCTCATAAACGTTCATATAAAGTATGGAACTGTCCACATATCAGCCTCTGACTATTCGGTGGGTTTACCCAGTTTCTTTTTCTGACCTCATCTTCTGAATATGCTTCGTAAATACACAATATTTTTAATGGATCCATTGCACTCGACGACACGAACACCGCGTACTAACGCTCAATAGTAACTGAATAAATTACGTTCGTATGGCAGCTCAACAGAAATTCAGTTGAACGTAAAATAAGTGACCGAAAATAAGCGACTCACAACTCACAAAATTACGCTCGTTTGGCTTCACCCTAAACCACTCGAACCTGAGGGGGTCGGCTCAACTAGAGGACGTCTCTGAGACTCGGACCTCGGCTCTAGTTAGCCGTTAGCGGGGAGTGTCGCTTCAGCACGTCTGTAACACATAATATCATGTAATTATAAAGTTTAGGTAGAAATCGTGAAACATAATTAGTATGCACCTATACTATTTTACACATAACAATTCAATAAAATTAGAACGAATATCTCTAACTTCATTAATAATAACATCTGTGAAAACAAAATGTTATTCAAATGTTTAATTTATCCTTTTGTTATTCAAAGGTGACAATTTTTATTTATTACTTATCTATAACTAGCGGCCCGCCCTCGCTTCGCTTCGGTGTAGAGCTGTAGTGTAGACTATAGTTTTTGTTCTCAGGCTTGTATTATACACAATGACATTCTTCTATTACCTAATTATAATAGGCACGTTAGTGAAGTGGATTCGGGAAGGCAAAACAATTGAGTGACGTAATGTCAATAGAAGTTTAGAAAAGGCATATATGCTATTTTCAGTTTTTTTTATAATTATATTAAAAGTCATTTTAGTCTACACTACAGCTCTACACCGAAGCGAAGCGATGGCGGGCCACTAGTACTATGGCCACTACTATTTATGAACACGTTCAATTGATCTATTAAAATGCTTACATAGTCACACTTTTTTAGCTTTAAAATGATGCGTATATTTTTTTACTTTTTTTAAACACACTAATTACCCTAGCTCCAAAGTAAGCACCGTAAGGCTTGTACTATGGGATACTAGGGTAACTGATAGAATACATATACTGTACGTATATAAGTATATTTATATAGAAATTCATATTAAACATCCATGTCTGGAGAACAAATATGCTCGTATTCATCACACAAACATGTGACCCCACCGGCATTCGAAATCTCGAGTCGGTGACACCATGAAACCCGGCGTACAAACCACTCGGCCACGGAGGTCGTCAAGTTCTCTCATGCTGGTCGTCAAGTCAACTAATTGGTGTGACTATTCGAAATATTTATCTTATATATAAAATTCTCGTGTCACAATGTTAGTTACCATACTCCTCCGAAATGGCCTGACCGATTTTTATGAAATTTTATATGCATATTCCGTGAGTCTGAGATTCGGCTACTACCTATTTTTTATTTTCTTCAGTGATAATGGTTGTCCACCTGTAACGTAGTGTTCTGAAACCCACAATGCGCCTTCGCGCCAAAATTCAAACTATTGGGTATTGTAACGTAGTGTTCTCATATGGGTTAGGAGGAATGTTATCCCAAGGAATTGATGGAACACCACGTTATACACCCCTTAACTTTTTTTGGACTTTTTTTATGTGCTATTAAAACATATATACAACCCTAAATTTTCTCTTCTACCACCTGCCTCTATTTTTATGGCGGTACGAAGTTCGCTGGATCAGCTAGTAATTTATAATAATTTAATTTATACTGTCGATTTTGGGTATCGACTTTGCGTTCCATTTCTATAATAATTTACTTTTAAATAGATTGTCAATACCAACTTTTAGGAAATATAAAAATAATTAACAATATGTGTATAAAAAAGCTATTGGCGAATTACCAGATATCATCATCAGCCTATTAATGTCCCCACTGTGCCCCAGGCCTTCCCTGTGGATGGAATAGGGAGATTGGGCCATGACCTACCACGCGGGCCCAGTGCTGATTGGCGGGTGCTAACGGCTGCAGATGCAGCCGGGACCAACGGCTTAACGTGCCTTCCGAAGCACGGAGGAACTCGAGATAGAAGATTTTTTGGTCACACATCCAATGACCGACCACTGCGAAACTTCAACGATCGCAGCCGAACGCGCTAACCACTTGCGCCATCGAGCTCCTTAGTGCTTCGGAAGGCCCGTTAAGCCGTTGGTCCCGGCTGCATCTGCAACAGATTGTCAATACCAACTTATTAGAAAAATAAAAATAATACCAGTTACTCTGTGATCATAGCGCTTGCAACAGTGCCTAAATATCGGAAACTCGCTAAAAGCAAGGTACATGGTAACAATCCTGTAAATCTATCTATATATATAAAACTCATAGGTGACTGACTGACAGACATAGTGATCTATCAAGGCACAGCCCAAACCACTGGACGGAACGGGCTGAAATTTGGCATGCAGGTAGATGTTATGACGTAGGCATCCGCTAAGAAAGGATTTTGATCATTTCTACCCCCAAGGGGATAAAATAGGGAATGAAAGTTTGTATGAAACTTTGTCAATTTTAAACCGATCGGTCAGTGCAATGCAGTGCATGCAAAGTCTCAGCATGCAGGTACAAGAAGAATCATAGATGAATGTCATTGTGTCTAATACAAGCCTGAGAACAAAAACTGTAGTCTACACTTCAGCTCTACACCGAAGCGAAGCGAGGGCGGGCCGCTAGTAACTTATATTACTTTAATGTAAAAATAATTCGTAATAATAGAAAAAAACCTACAGGCGAATTACCGGTAATGCTATAAAATTTGCTCAAGGGAATCGATACAGTATCTATGCGAAATTAAGTAATATCATAAACTTAACATAATGATATTCATACATAGTCGTTTGCTTAAAAGGTTGGACTTTGGCCAGCTTTAGCAATCTCGCAGCCGGTTTGTGACTCATCCCTCTTGACAATGTTGAATGAATTCGCTGCAAATTTTATCTGACTGAGTGTTCGACAACAATTTTGTTTGTAGTAATTTTTATTTTTTTAAACGTTTAACTGTTAGGTGTTAAAATAAAAAGGTGTTAAAATTTGTATGTTAATTGGCAAGTGCTAACGACTGCAGATGCAGCCGGGACCAACGGCTTAACGTGCCTTCCGAAGCACGGAGGAGCGAGAGATAGAAGATTTTCGGTCACCCATCCAATGACTGACCACTGCGGAAGTTGCTTAACTACAACGATCGCAGCCGAACGGGCTAACCACCCGCGCCATCGAGCTCCTCATCCTCTCCTGAGTTGTTGAGATCATCATCATCAGCCTATTAATGTCCCCACTGCTGGGGCACAGGCCTTACCTATGGATGGAATAGGGAGATTGGGCCATGACCCACCACGCGGGCCCAGTGCGGGTTGGTGGGTGCTAACGACTGCCGATGCAGCCGGGACTAACGGCTTAACGTGCCTTCCGAAGCACGGAGGAGCTCGAGTTAGTAAATTTTCGGTCACCCATCCAATGACCGACCACTGCGAAAGTTGCTTAACTTCAACGATCGCAGCCGAACGCGCTAGCCACCTGCGCCATCGAGCTCCTCCCTTACAGCTTGAATGATAACTCGCCCTTCTCCGAGTTTTTTTGAAGTGTTTACTTCTTATGGGAGTGTTAACCGCTTCGTTACGTAACGCGTTACGGCGTCAGTCTGACTGGATTAACTTACTCATGCATACGCAGCGGTAGCCAGACTTCTCTCTCACTCTTAAATAAAATAAATAAATATTTCCAACACTCACACCAATTAGCCTAGCCCCAAAGTAAGCACTATAAGGCTTGTGTTATGGGATACTAGGGTAACGGATAGAATACATATACAGTACATATATAAGTTTATATTTTTATAGAAATACATATTAAACATCCATGATAGGAGTACAAATGCACGTATTCATCACACAAACATCTGGCCCCACCGGGATTCGAACCCGGGACCTCTCGAGTCGGCGACACCATGAAACCCGGCGTACAAACTACTCGACCACGGAGGTCGTCAAAAGTTATTTTAAAATGATGACTTCTTATGGGAGGGTTAACCGCTTCGTTACGTAACGCGTTACGGCGCCAGTCTGTCTGGCTTCCCTTTCACGCATACGCAGCGGTAGGCAGACTCCTCTCTCACTCGCAGCGCCGCTTAGAT